GTCTCGTCTTTACTACTAAGTTGCTGGACTCAGTCGAGGCCAACTACAATATTTGGCCAGACCAATGGCCAAAGATCAAGTGCAAATACCAACATATCCAGTCCAAAACAAGGACACTGGCTGTCCTTGTCAACAGCCTCCAGTATTTTGCTGCATTTGGGAATGAAAATTAATTGCGACTGTGAAAAACAAGGTAGCAGCTTCTCATTTTTAGCCGACTGTCACCGACTGATGTAACTTCATGACCGGCCAGAGTTAAAGGAGGAAGAAGCTAACACCACAGCACAACTGTGAATCAGAATGAAAAAACAGAGCGACTTCTCACGTCAGTGTCTCAAAGTTAACCTTTCGTTCATATCAGATCAACAATTCCAGCTTATCATCTTGACAGTTTTTGGCAGATATCCAACTAATAAAATGGTCATTGTACTGTTTGCCAAAAACTTGATTGGCCGATCGAGAGGAACCTAAAATAGCAAACCAATTACAGGACACTAAAACTCTCCACTGACACCCGAGATTGTAAAACCAAATCCAGCAACAAGACGATAAGCATCAATAAAAATGTGTTCCCGTGTGCTTGACCATGTTTGGTCATCGTCAGGGTTTCCTATAAACGATCACCACGTTATCAATCAATGAAACAATAAAAGTCTGTTTAAACTGCATCATATCAGCTGTAGATGAAACCGAGTCATCAAACGTGCTTTTGTGCTTTCATAGCGTCATACTATCCATCACATCATCTTTTTATAAGGATACAACTGTTTCTGTTTGTGGTGTCGTCATATACTGCAGAGGCATAAAGTTATAAACACTAAAAAAAGAGACACAGATGCCTAAAGGGCTGCAAGTAACGTTTATTTTTATGGTTGAATCTGTCACATTGTCTGTTAAATGTCAGAAACAAGAGTCTACAGTCAAGCCCTCCAGGCGCTGTTAGGCTGTATTTAGACAGAGCTTTAAACTAATTGCTAACATCAGCCATACTAATAGGCTCACAATGACAGTGCTAGAGGCTGATAGACATTAGTTTTTCAAGTATTTGGATAAATAAATTACCTAAATGTACATCTGATGATGGCGCTAGATGAATAGTGAAGGGATCATGAACGTTTTTTACAATTCATCCTGAGATCAACATGAACTTCTGTACCAAATTTCATGACAATCCATCCAATACTTGTTGAGATATTTCATTCAAAACCACAACTGTCAAGATCATGGTGCAACAGGAAATGTCTGGGTGTCACAAACATTAACCATGGTCTCAAAATGTTACTCTTACGTCTCTTCCACCAACACCATAGTTTTGAAACATTTCTGAGCATTTTGACCAAAAATTAATTTGTTCGCAACTGAGAAAGTCGGTTCCCAGCCATGGCCACCAAGTTTTATCCCGATTCTGCGAGCTCAAGGCTGCAGGTTTTATGCTTTTTTAAACTGTCTTTAGCCTTACTCGTAACAGTAAGTGCTAACTGCCAGCTGGCAAAATCGCTCTCATGTCCAGAGTTATGAATCTTGTGATCAATTTAGTTACTAGAAGTCTAAACAACTGCAATACTCATTAAATACGTGTGTAATGTTTCACTTTCATTATGAAAGTGTATAAATTCTTCTGACATAAGCAGAGGTGGTCTGTATTTCAGGCTAGGTGGGCCGCCTCCATTAAAATCCGCTGTGGGAAAGAGTTGATACAACATTTGATGCCTGAGGCACCAAATGTTACCTTGGAATATTAAAACCAGTGTAAATAACAGAGTCAGCTGGGAAACTTGTGTAATAATGACACTGTTTCGAAACTCCATCAAGCTTTGTGTAATGTTTCACTTGAAAGGGATGTGAAAACCAGTGAACGGCCTGTGGGATGAGGCTGAAACCCACAAAAACATCTGCCGTCTGATAGTGGTCGGACTTTATAAAACATTTTCTGAAGTAATGGGCTTTCACAACAGCAGCATTGATAAGAAACTGAGGTGTCATGGCGATTCAAAGGTCCAAAGTACACATATGTAACTTCTTGTGGCCACACAGGAACCTTTAAATCTCTCTTGGAGATTCAATAAAATGCCCAAAACAATACAAGTCACAGACACAACGTAAATAGATAGGAATCCAACATAATATGATCTAACAGGTTATGTTATCAGTGTACAAAAATGTAACCAAAACAATAACACGTCTTAGCGAACAGTTGCTTTTAATATCGTGCCTAGCAGACACGCAGTAACGTCAGGATTCGTCGTGTGTTTCTGGGCATCTGATGAATGAAAGTCCAAATTCTGCTCTTCTTTTAGCTTTGTTTTACCCTTCTGAGAAATATATCTGACTCTGTAGCAGCTAAATGCTCCACTATGTTCAATATCTAATCAAGAAAACCGAAACCAACCATTATTTGGAACCGACATATACAGTTCAAATTAAAAATCAAGAACAATTTTGACGTACTTGCTTGAGTATTTACATTTTATGCTACTCTATACTTCCAATATTTTTGTACTTTTACTTCTCTAAGATGCTGAATACAGGACTACTTGTAGCAGAATTATATTTAATTAAAACACTGAAGAAGACTGAACTTTTGAGCTATATTTCAAGAAAAACATTACTCATGACGTGTAACCAATCGGTAACTACAGACAAGAGAGAGGCAGAGCCAAAGCAGCACATTTCAAAATGATTGTATCTGCAATCAGATAGAAAGAAATACTGTTACAGCATCACAATATTATGTGACATTTGTTGAAGGTATGTACCAAACAGATGTGTTTTTTCAATCTGGGGAAGAAGATTTGTAGGCCAGTGTGTCTCTGCAGCCCTACAGGACTTCATTATAATGCCGGTTTGTCACATATTAGCGTCAAAAAACTGCAATTTCTGCAATTTCAATACAATTTCAAGTACTTGTGCAGCTGATTATAGGAGCTTTAGGTTACCACAGAGCAAACAGACCAACAGTCAAATAACTGAAAACATCAGAAGGGCTAAACATTTTAACTAGTAGCCATTATTTTTGCATAAAACAACAAATAATCAACTGTTAAAACTGCAATAAACCTTCTGTAAACGTGGCCGATCAATCCAGTTTTTTTTCAGCATTACAAACATTATATCCCACCATCCATCATCAGTCTTTCCCTTCGCAGGTACAACACATATTTCTGTCTTCGCTGCAGCAGCTGCCGGGTGTCAGGTGTGTGTTGACTCAACCTGGCCTTCGACACCACTTCCGCCCCACCCACCTGGGGCGAACAGAGCAGGCAGAGCGAGTGAGCTGACAGCCAGGCAGCAAGTCCCACAGGTAGACACACCTGAGAGCCGGCCAAACAGGAGGCCGAACGGAGGCTTATAACTCACCCTACACACCTTGTTTAGGCGGGAGGAACACAGTCGATCTACTGATTCACCTTCAGCAATCGACAGCAAGTGTTAGCCTAGAGAACGTTTGATGGGTTCTAATACAAATCTAATGTTAAAACCACATATAGGGAACAAAATGTCAAATAAAAATGTGTTAAACTGTAAAAAGTCACTGTTGAGGAGACACAATATAGGTCAGTAAAGGAATATCACAGGGGCACAGACACACCTAGCTTCTCCGTATGAGTGCAGCTCTATTATAACCCATAAAGTAGATACAGATAGTGAGCTATAAATACATTTTAAACAAGCTCTGATGCAACGAGTCACTGTGAGAATATGGCATTAACATAATAGTGACGTAATCGCAAAAAAAAAGGTCCTTTTTTTAGGACTATAACAGGGACCATAAAGTGCCAAAATGTCACTAATGTCAGTGTGATGAAGAATAATGAGTAAATATAAAGATATAGGAGGTTCAACATCACTATATGAATATTACAGGAGATATAAACATCTTAAGCTCACTATAAATTCAATTTTGAGTGCCAACAACACAACACAAGTCACTATAGAAACATTATAGAGAGAGTTTTAGAGATTTAAACACTATAAAGGCCCTTTAAGGTCAGTTTGGAGTACCAACAACACAACAGAAGACACTATAGGGAACACCTTGATAGGTGTAAACATCATATCGTCACAATAAGCTCAGTTTAGAGCAGCTAAATGACATTATCAGTCATTACTATGTGATTAATTTAAGAGATAAAACAACTTATAATCACTATAAACCCAATATGGGGCTCAAATGTCACTAAAGAAATATTATACAGCTATATTAAGAGAAATAAACACCATAAAGTCCATATAAACACAGTATGGAGTAGAAACAACACAGTAGAAGTCACTACTGTCATTATTATAAGGTTATTTTAAGAGATTTAAACACAATAAAATCACTAGAGACTCAATATAAAGTACCAGAGTCACATCATAAGTCACTACACAAATATTATAGGCTCAACTTAACACCATAAGCTCACTATAAACTCAGTATGAAGCAACAAAGTCAATGTATAAGTCACTATATGGACATTATATGAGAAATAAACACCATAAAGTCAGTATGGAGTACCAACAACACAACAAAAGTCACCATAGAAACATTACATAAGATATTTTAAGAGATTCAAACATCATAAAAACCCCTTTAAACTCGGTATAAAGTAGAACAAAGTCACATTATAAGAACATTAGAGATATCTTAAAGAGACATTTACACCACTATAACCTCAATGTGGGGTATAAAGTCTCATTAATGTATCAGAAGTCCACTATAAACTCAAAGAGTGGCACAAACAACTACTAAAGCTCACTTTAAAACAACAAAATGAGCTTTAAAGAACATTACAGAGACTTTTTCTTCCTCCGTGGGTGTGGAAGACGGTTCATTTTGAAACACACACACATATATAGACAAACAACACGTAATTACTGTAAAACATATAGGAAACGGCCTGCAGTTGCACAATGCCCCCCCCTCTCCCCTTGCACTGTTGATAAACTGGTTTAGTTTGCGCGTAACGACGTCTTAAAAACCCTTCAAATGTGCCATCCGCGTCCACCTTCCAGCTTACCTGCATACCAGGAACTTCCATGGTTACTTCGAAGTATGAACGCCCTTTTCCTCCTCCAGGTTTGTCTGTCTCTCTCCTTCTTCTTGCTTTCTTTCTTTTTTTGAGTCGTTCCTCCAAAAGAAAAGTCCCTCCAAGTACAAACCAACAGCTTTCTTTCTTTTTTTAACTTCCGAGAACGAGTGAAGGAGGAATAGATATAGGTGTGTGTGTGTGTGTGAGTATCCGATGGAAGAAATAAAACCAGAGGGCAGTTTGTGAGCAGCAGCAGAGAAAGAAATGAAGAAACTACAAACACCCCCCTTTCTCTCTCTCTCTCTCTCTCTCTCTCTCTCTCTCTCTCTCTCTCTCTCTCTCTCTCATATACACACACACACACACACACACACATATATATAGATACACGTCCTGTGAGAGTCTGCAGCAACAAAAAGTGTTGAGCAAACGAGGAGGATGACGAGCTGGTTGCTGCCTACTTCAAGGGAGGAGCGAGAGAGTGCGTAAATGTCAGCTTTTACGCATGAGGTTGTCTGCTGCCACCTTGTGTCTGACTGCTGGGAGTGTGTCTGTCTAGTTGTACACATAGATCACACTCACATTATTCTGTTTTTTATACTTTTTATATGTATATCTTTTCTATTTTCTACATATATTGTATTAGATATTGTAATATCATTATTAGAATATATATATATAAACAAATCCCCCCCTCAGGGATCAATAAAGTTCTTTTATTATTATTATTATTATTATAGATTTAAACACAATACAACTATAGACTCAATATAAAGTACCAGAGTCACATTAGAAGTCACTATACGGATATTATAGCCTCATCTTAACACCATAATATCAATATAAGTCAATTTATAAGTCACTATATTGACATTATATTGACATTATAAGAGAAATAAACACCATAAAGTACCAACGTCTCAACAGAAGTCACCATAGAAACATTATAGAGATATTTTAAGAGATTTAAACATCATAAAATTACTATAAACTCAACCAAAGCAAATGTTTATTGAATTTTTGTTGTATATTTTTATTTATTTTTTAAATATATTGTTATTTACTGTACTATAATGTACAGATTTGTTTCTATTTTCTATACATTGTTGTTATATATTGTAATTTAATGCACTGGTTCCCAACCTGGGTACCGGGACCCCCACAAGGGGTCGCCAAATTTTATTTTTTTTAAATATACAAAATAGATCGATATTTGTTCATTTCTGTGAAAAACAATTAAATAATAATAAAGTTAAATGTAATTAATATATAGATACTGACCTGTGTTTTAAATAAAGGCCTTAAAAAGTAAGACTTCTTCTTCCACCCCCGCCTGCTGTCCAACAAAAAATGGAAGTGAAAGAAATAAAACATATTTGAACTCAGTGTTGCCTTCAAGTGCAATCCATAAAGTTTGACATTCAAGTTTTGTGCTCATGTAGTTAATAAAATAATTAGTTCTCATTGTAACACAGTTTTTTTTAATAAGAAGCAGTTTTGCATCATCAGTTGCTTTTTATTTAACAGAGTTATGAAAGAAAGAAATAATAATATAAAATAATAATAATAATGTATAGCCTGATATTTGTAACCTATATTACCTTTAAACTATACTGCTGCATATATATGTATATTTTTTGTCCTGTGTAATTATATTAATTTCTACATAATGCCACAGTTTTGTTATATCTTATATTTCTCTATTTCTATCTTTATTTAATGTGTATTTTCTTATCTATTGTGTTTTAATTGCAAGTGAATTTCCCCAATGTGGGATCAATAAAGTCTTATCTGAGCTTATCTGTGAACTCTCAAATGTGGTAATTATCCAACACAAGAGGCACAAACGGAGGATAAATAATTATACAATCAAACACAATCAAATATAATTTTACAATGCTTAAACCAGACAAAAATAGCTTTTTTATTTGGTTGTTTTTTTAATTAAACAGATCTATCTAGTGAGAAATAATGCTATAAAATAACACTAACAATAACTAGACTCAAACGTGGTAATAATCCAACACAAGAGGCCACAAACTGAGAATAAATAATTCTACAATCCATCCCGTAGCCTCCGCTCACCTGAAGCAAACCTCCTGACTCCTCCACCCCGGACCAAGCACCGAACCTGGGGCGACAGAGCGTTCTCTGTAGCTGCCCCCTCCCTCTGGAACTCTCTCCCCAAACACATCCGTGACTGTACCGACCCTCCAACATTCAAATCACTCACAAAAACACACCTTTTTAAAATTGCTTTTAATGTTTAGCTAAGTCTGATGTGTTTTTAATGTTTTACTATTTGATGTTGTTTTGCTGCTTTTAGTGTCTTTGAGTATTTAGAAAAGCGCTTAAGAATAAAATGTATTATTATTACAATCAAACACAATCAAATATGATTTTACAATGCTTAAACCAGACAAAAATAGCTTTTTTATTTGGTTGTTTTTTTTAATTAAACAGAGAAATAATGCTATAAAATAACACTAACAATAACTAGACTCAAACGTGGTAATAATCCAACACAAACTGAGAATAAATAATTCTACAATCAAACACAATCAAATGTATTAATCACCATAAAACTGAATGGATCTTTATTTGGGTGCACTGGCCCTTTAAGAGATCTTTTTTTCCAACAGTTTTCGGAAGGCAGCGTTCCAACCGTGACGTAACCCGGAAGCGGTGGGGGCGGGGCCGGAGCCCGGCAGAAGATGGCGACGCTGCGCTGTAGGCGAGACCCCTGCGGCGTTATCTGTCTTATTTTAACTTATTTCAGCGTGTTTTACGCGGACTACGTGGTCGTACAGTATGTCCTCCTCCCCGCCTACTCGGACAGGTTCGTACTTTGTGTTTTTACGTCGTTTAAACCGGTTAAAAACCCCGACATGGCGCCTTCTTCCCCGCCGCTGGCTCCATTCATCTGACAGCTCTCTGACGGCGACCTCGATACCGAACTGCTGTTGTTTGTTTGTTTGTTTGTTTGTTTGTTTGTTTGTTTGTTTTCTCACAGGGAGGGACATTATCCATTTTTTTTTAAGAGTGTTGTTTGTTTTGCGGGTTTGTATTGAGGTGATACCGGATAATGTGTGTTCGGTCAGTCAGCTGTTTGTTTGTTTGTTTGTTTGTTTGTCACCGATACTAACAAACAAGGATCCTGTTAGTCTTTATAATCTGAAAGTTTGTCAGTAGTTTCACTTGGTGTCTCAAAATAATGAGTTTGTGACATTATTTACTCAAAATACTGAGAAAGTTTCTAATATTGAGATAATAAATTAAAATATTAAGATAATACATCAAAATATTGAAATAATAATTAAAAGATTGACATAATAAATTCAAATATTGAGGTATTAAGTTAAAATATTAAGATATTAAGTTATAATATTGAGATAATAACTTAAAATATTGAGATAATACATCAAAATATTGAGTAAGTTTCTCATTATTTTGAGATATTAGGTAAAAATAGTGAGATAATAAATTAAAATATTGAGATATAGTCAAAATATTGAGATAATAAATTGAAATATTGAAATAATAGTCAAAATATTGAGATAGTAAATTAAAATATTTAGATAATAAATTAAAATATTGAGGTATTAAGTTAAAATATCGAGATAATAGTCAATGTACTAAGATAATAGTCAAAATATTGAGTAAGTTTCTCATTATTTTGAGATATTAAGTAAAAATATTGCGGTATTAAATTAAAATATTGAGATAATAATCAAAATATTGAGATAATAAATTAAAATATTGAGATAATAAATTAAAATATTTAGATAATAAATTAAAATATTGAGATATTAAGTTAAAATATTGAGAAACTTATTATTTTGTAAATAATGACTAAACCTCCCTCAGACCGTCACAGGTGTTTTCAGTTACACCTGCTCAGGTGTCCAGAGGCTGATTGGCCGTCTCATTATCCTTCAGAGGCTGTATGAAGCTGTGGTTTAAAGCTTAAACGGAAGAATAATGTATATTATATTCTGATAATTGATTCATTGTTTTAATCACTTTTATTTTAGGTAAAAATAGTTTAAATCCAGCTTCTTTAATGTGAGAATTTGCTATTTGTTTCCTGTTTTATATCTTTTTAAACTGAATATCTTTATTGGAAAAAACATATTTGAAGTTGTTTTAACTTATTTCTGGCATTTTATTTTAGATAAAATTAATAATTGACAAAATAATTAAAAAACGTATGTATTAAAAAACAGAAATCCATGAAATGGAGGCAATAAAACAGACGTTTGGACTCTTAAATCTTCATAAAACAGTGAATCTGCATTAAAATCCAGCTGTTTTTTGAGGTTTTCTCTGCACCAGTTGGATTTATATTTCTTCCTATACGTTCACCTGTTTAATTAAAGTAATAAAATGCAGCGTTTCCTTCTCAGAATAAATAAAACTCGCTTGTTTTGTGCATTAAATCTCAGTTTCTACCTGTCTGACAGTGTGTGGTGTACTCTACACGGATCAGTGTTCAACCTGATTCTGCTGCTGCTGCTGGCCTGCCACTCCAAAGCCGTCTTCTCAGACCCCGGTCAGTAACCATGGGAGGGTTCCCCACGCGTCCTGGAAAAACCTGGAAATGTAGAGAGTAGTTTTCCATTGATTAAAAATGACCAAATATCCTGGAAATAATCTAAATTATCCTGGAAAATGTTAACTGTGTTTTAGCCCCTCACTCAGATCTCCACCTTTCTTGTTGTTGTTGATGAATAGATGCACAGAAATGTTACCTGTCCCTGCAACAAACACTTTATTCTTCTTTTAATAGGCGAGAAGATTGAATTTTCTGTAAAATATAATAAATTCTACTTAATTTGAACGCTTACTTACAAGCTGTGTAGTGAATTCACTGGAGAATGTGTCAATATTAAACCTACTGGTAAATTATATGACTGTTTGTGAGCATGTGCCGTCCTGTATTATGAAGAAAACTCCTGGAAAAAGATTCCTTTTGATTCCTTGCTTTAATATTTCTTTTCAACGTGTTGTTTTCCAGGTATGGTGCCTCTTCCTGACACAGCCATAGACTTCTCAGATCTTCGCTCGCAGTCGTCTCGGATGAACGAACGGGTGAGTCTCCCGGTTTGGATTCTTTCAGTGTTCATCGTTCAGGAGCCGTGTTATCCACAGAGGTCTCCTCGTCTCCAAAACAAACTGATTACAACGGCTAAAAACACTGAATAAAGCAGTTCCACCTTAAAAGTCACTGCTTCTCCCACGTCGCTGCTAACAGTAGCTCAGCTTGTTTCTCTGATAACTTAAGATCCCGAGTTAAAAAGCACCAAGATCTAAACAGTGGTTGGTAAAAATGTGGCTGCAGACTGGATAAACAGTCAATTCAAACTAATGTAAGAATACAACTCAGCTACATATAGAACATAAGTGTAGTGTTTATGGACATTTTATGGCTTTAATTGTCCAAGTAAGTTCAAAATATGTTTGAAAACATTTTAAATAACTTTAAAAAAAAAGGTCTTGTCAGGTTGCTTTTTGTGTCCATTTGACTGCACAGAACTTTATTTCAGATACGTTGGAGTTTTCATTCATTCATTCAACCTTTATTTAAAGGGAGTACAGCGGAATAAATACACACAGACATAAACAAAAACAGTTTTATTTAACAAGAATTAAAAGCTGTGAGTGGATTTTCCCACTAAAGACTAATAATAGAGATTATAACTGTGTTATTAACCTCTGTATATTTATCTCATGCTGACTCTGTACTTACGTCTTCTTTTGGGCTTTTGAGCTCAATGACAGACGTCTGCGTCTCGACGGCGTTAAATATGAGCCGCTGACGGGATGACGTCTGTAGCTCCACTGACTGATTGGGTTTGTTTTGTTTGGACTGACTTTTATCGATTTATAAAACAGTAACAGAGTCTCTAAAAGTTGTTTAATTAATTTTAACCGTTATGTTTTTAAAGGTTAAGGATTTAATTCCGTTATAATCAGTAAAAAAATACTTGATTTTCAACATAATCTGGTACTTTATTGACACAATGGCTCATGTAAACAACAAATATTGAACATGAAACAATCCAATTGTTGTATTTGCTTGTTTGTTTGTTTGTTTGTCTCCTGGTGTGTTTCATTTCTAAATAAATCCTCTGTTGATTAGAGTTGTTCCGATAACAATAACAGTATCAGAAATTCCTCCGGTACTGCCTAAAATGTAGTATCTGGGTCTCGCTTCTTCCCAACAGTGTCCATATTCTTCCCAGAATAGTGAAGTCATTATCCGCCGTACTTTAACCTGAGCCGGGTCGCACAACAATGATTTTATTTCACCTTTATTTTATCAAGTAATCTCACTAAGGTCAAAAATCTCTTGACCTGGTGAAGGTAGCTGCCATACAAAATTATATAAAACATGATATACGGAAACAAATCCACAATAAAACAACAGCGCACGTGTATCGGTATGAGCCAATACGGGAAGATCAGGTATCGGGAAGGAAGAAAATGATATGGGAACATCTCTACTGTTGATCCTTTACTCTTGAAATTAACAATCATTAAATAATCAAAACATACAATCAAAGTTAATGAAGGAGTTTCCATTGAACCATACCAATATAATGATAATATATCAGCGGTAAACATACTGGAGGTCCCTGAATCAAGAATAAATCAAGACTATCAAAGGACAAGAAGCAACACACAACCCCAGACTGAGAGGAAGCAGCAGTCTCAGTGCTTTAAAGCCTCTAATCACAGGTCAGGTGCACCTCATTCAGTAACTATACGGGCTGTGCTTCATCATTAACCTCCACATACAGACAGTATCATCACTTTTCGGTCCCTCAGAGACGTTTTTGGCGTCTGGTCAACAGAAAGTACTGGACGAGCGTTTTTTTCTGGCATTGTAGGTTCATGCCGGCGGGTTTTCTAACCTTTGTTGTCCCACTCGTTAGCATGCTGTTCCTCTAAGAGCTTCTAGACTACGACCGACTGGAGATTTGAGTCTGTCAGCTGCTTCGTTGTATGTTAAGACGTCACTGAAACTTTACAAATCTGTGTGTTTTACCTCCCTTAACAGAAGAAAATAAAGCATTTTAATGCATAAAAAAAGGTAGAGCTAGAGGGAAAAGAAGAGGAAAACACATACAGCCGTTTTTATTTAATCTTTTATCGACTGTTGTCGTGCTGCTTTCAGGGCTGCGAAGGTTGGACGGTGTGCAGTCGCTGTGAAACCTACAGACCTCCCAGAGCGCATCACTGCCGCGTCTGTCAGAGGTGTATCCGCCGCATGGACCATCACTGTCCCTGGTGAGAAGACCTCCGTCCGTCCTCTTTTGTCTTTCATCTTCTTCGCCGTCTCTTTTCGGTCGTTCTGCATCTTTTTCCAGCTTCCTCTCCACCAATTTCTCTCAAATTTGTGTGTTTTTAGGATCAACAACTGCGTCGGAGAGCTAAACCAGAAGTATTTCATCCAGTTTCTCTTCTACACTGGTGAGTTATTCTGTTCTGTTTTTATTTAAATGTTTGTTGTTTCTAACTTTTGTTTTCAACATAGTTCCAGTTTTAGTTATTTTCCAAAGTTTCAGTTTAGTTTTTATTGTTTAAAAATGTTTAATTTAGTATAAAACAAACACACTGACTCACATTTACATCCCAGTCTCTCAATAAACTTAAAATCCATCTTCCAAGCTTGTTTCCTCCACAATTACAATTTTTTTTTTTTTTTTTTTTTTTTTTTTTGGGGGGGGGGAGGGGGGGGTTTTTTTTTTTTTTTTCATATTTTTTTCTTTTTTTTTTTAAAAAACCTCCCCCTTTTCTCCCCTAAACCCTTTAAACTTTCCAAAACCCCCTTTCTTTTTTTTAAACCTTTTTCCCCTTGTTTCTTTTTTTTTCATCTATTTATTCCTTTTTTTTTTTTTTTTTTTTTCTTTTTTTTTCCCTCTTAATATTTCTTTTTTTACCCCGGGTTTTTTTTGGTTTAAAAAAAAAATTTTCTTTTTTTTTTTTAAGATGGTTGGGTGGTTTTTTTTTTTGTTGTAGCACTGTCCAGTCCAAGACAACTTTCTCCTCTGGGACAATAAAGTTTACTCTACAACTGAAGTTAATGCTGTTGTTAATGTGGTTCTGTCTCTCTGTGTGTGTGCAGGCATGGCCAGTCTGTACTCCATGGTGCTGGTGGTGTCGGCCTGGGTGTGGCGGATAAGGAACGAGAGAGAAGGCGATACAGAGAAAGAAGGAGAGGAGACGCCCAGCAAGCACCTGATAGTGTGAGTCCTCTGAAAGCCAAACTGACGTCTGTAGTGTTTGAGCTTTAAGGTCTGAGTCTTCAGCTGGTTAGACAGTCAGTTAATCAGCGGGTTGTTGTTGTTTCTGTTGCTTTCTCCCTCCTCAGCGCTCATTACATCATCCTCCTGGTGGAGTCGGTGTTGTTTGGCGTGTTTGTCATGGTCATCTTCTACGATCAGGTACTCTCAAACATAAACACACACACACACACACACACACACACACACACACACACACACACACTGGTAGACTGTAACAAAGTACAATTAAATACAAATTTGATGGAAATATTATACTTTTTACTTGAGTTACTTGACAGATTAAGTTCCTCACACACAAATATGAAATAAATGCAGCTGAAATGCTTAATCAATAAACTATTTTAATAAACGTACAGTCAAATTTTTTTCTAAATTGTGAGGATTTAAAGCTTTTTCCTTTCAATAATTATCATTTCTTTTTTTCTTAGTCAGTTTGTCAACACTGTTCAACAGTTTTACGGCTAAATTTTGATTTTTTTCTTAAAAAGAGACTTAAATATAATTTTCTGAAATACAGTCTTTTCTCTCGCTGTCTCACCCACCAGTTGGTCTCCATAATCACAGACGAGACGCCGATAGAGCAGATGAGGAACAGGCTGATGATTAAGGACAGAGGCTCTTCATCTACATCCTCTTCCTCCGCCTCTGCCTCTCAGCTGCCTCACCACCCCCCGCACACCCGCAAGCCGAAGCTCGCTCTGCTGCGGGAGGTATTCGGAAGAGGTGGGTTTGTTGTTAATCATCCATCCATCCAACCTCCCGCTGATTTCACCAAATCTATTGATCACGTATCAGTTTTAAATCTCTTTTTTTTTCTTTTTTCTCTCCAGGTTCAGTCTTTTGCTGGCTTCTTCCTCTCCACTCCAGCCCTCCGTCAGTTGGCGGCATCTCCTACTCCGCCCTGCCCGACTACGACGTCTGACCTTTGAACCGGAGAGAGCGAGGAAAGGGTGGCGAGAAAGGTTTTTCATTGCGTGTGTGTGTGTGTCTGGTGTGTCTTTAGAAATGAGGGAATTTTCTACGATGTCTTCTCTTTGGACCTGAGCGAAGAAGATGAAGAGGAAGGAGGATGAAGGCTGAGACTGGGATAAATGAAGAGAGCGTGTGTGTGTCAGATGAATGAATGTGTGTGTGTGTGTGTGTGTGTGTGTGTGTGTGTGTGTGTGTGTGTGTGTGTGTGTGTGTGTGTGGATTTTATCCCCCAGGGCCTAAAATGAGTTCATCCCCAGACTTTTGCCCCGATCTGTAGTTTAACTACCAGCGTTCTTTGATTATTTTGACTTGTGTGGGAGAGTTGGCCCCTTGTGGATGCTGGGGGTTTGACTGATGAAGGGTTGTTTGTACTACTTTTTAATTCCCAGAAACTGCAAACACTCGGGGGCCAGACTTTTAATTTAAACCTCATCAACACTCACTGACAAGACACACAGACTGCAGCAGAATGAGCCCCCAAAAAACAATTTAAAAGCCTCAGTAAATCTGGCCCTCTGTGTTTCCTCCATGATTCAGTTCTTGTCTGAACCAAAAGCTCCTAACATAACATTTAGAGCCTGTTTACACCTGGTATTAACAAGTATCTTGGGTCACATTGTGCTACAATCACTCAAACCACTCACCGAGGTAGTTTGAGACGCATTTGACCTCAAATCTTTAGTAGCGTAAACCAGGGGTTCCCAAACGTTTCCGTGCCGTGGCTCCAAAAACAGCATTAATTTATGGCTCGACCCCGCTTTACAAGATGTCTTAAAAAACTCACTGACAAAACTGTATAAAAAAAACATAAAAAAACAAATTCTGGATATATTTCCTTCCTTTAATTGATGCAATAATTACTACATTTGTATTTGAAATCTTTTATCGTTACGTTACATCTAATAACGCGTCCAAAAACGTGCCTACTCAGCTGACGTCCTGTAAGTACGCACTAAACACGCCGTCTGTTTGGTTCACTGTAATGCAGATTAACATATTTTAGGCTGTATTATCTGCACAAGATAAGCAGCAGAAACCACCAGACTTCCTTAAAGAAACACACAATTTTAAGAGTTGTTTAACGAGGAGAAGCTTTATAAACTTTGAGAAACTCTTTGTACGACAAATTCTTAATTATTTGGGCCTTCTTGTAAATTCGGCAAACGTTACACATTAAGTTATTTCTTTCTTTGTGTAAAAATTATCGTGTCCGTTGCCCCAGTGTGTCGGCTACTAGACGGTGATACAGTCTCCTCTACTGCCGCCCACTGTGAGTGACTCAGCCAAGCAGCCTGTCAGTATGAGAGGCAGCAGAGACGCGAGCAGGATGCCTTTCTTCGTCATCTGTGTATGAAAACAGCAGATTTCCACACAGTCGAGGAAGTGAAAGTGTGTGTCCTGCTCATGAAGTTCAGTTATAAAACCCCACAGCTCCCCACAGAGTGTCTCTCCTGCAGGGCTGCTGACAGTATTAATGAACACTGACTAACTGGGAAGTGAGATCTTTTGATACCAGGTGTAAACAGGTTCATTGGCCACCATGAGACACCAAAACTGGTCTAATGGAAACTCCAAAATGCTTTTAATGGGTTCAAAAATGTATATTTGTACATATGAGAATCAGGTAAGAAGGGCATTTCGGTAGGTCAGCTGATTTCTGATCAGTATCGACACACATATCAGTCCAACCCCAGTGCAGTTTTATATGTTTTTACACCTTCAACCCCCGAATGAAACCCGATCAACTGACCTTTTGGTTGTTGAACTGTAAAAGCTGGCTTTGCCCTAAATTCACTAACGTTTGTTACTGAATTATGTTTTTTTTTTTTTCTTCAAATATAGAATCAAATTCTTTCTCCCAGGTAATCTAAGCTTTAAATAGTTAGTTGGGCTGCACTGATTTTCCCATCCGTGTTAGCTGAATCCTTATTAAGCTCAGTGAAATCGCAGGTGCAAAACAAGTTGAGCTTTAATTTTTTAAAGATAATTCATACATAGTTTCATAGGATGTTGATATTCACAATGTGGCCAAAAGTGTGTGGACACCTGACTATTATATTAATATGTAATAGTTAGACATCTCATTCCAAAACCATTGGCGTTAATCTGAAGCTCCAGTCTCCCGGTTTCATTCTTTACACCTGATTCTGGCTCACAGTCGGAGCTCCAGTTCATCCCAAAAAACTATTTCCTTATTGACCTGACTTTTTGCACAGGGTCCCAAGGAAGGAAGGATCTTATTTCCAAACTGGTGACACAAAATAGGAAACACACTGTTTCTCTAAAAGAGGAATTCCCAACCTGGGGGTCGACAAAACTGTACAGGTGGAAAGAAGACTTTTACAAATATAAACATTAGGCCTATATGTCAGCATTTTGTTCATTTCTGTGAAGACAGAAAACTAAATGAAATTGTCACTTTTTAAGTTTATATTATTATTTAAGATCTAAACCTGAACACAAGTTATATTCACAGAGCTTTCACTCTCTGATAAACAGCCTTCATCCTGCATTAGCAAAAGTATGCAGGTAAAACTACCATAGAGCTATTAGAAAAATGAGGAGAAAAGTTAGAATTTGTCCAAATAAACCCTATGTATGATTGTTAAAAATAAAGAAAATACATAATACAGACAAAGAATTGCATAAAAAGTTACTAAAATATGAGGAAAACTCATCTCTGATTAAATATTCACGGGAGATCATCTGCTCAAAATTCATCCAAATCGCTCGTTTTGCACAAACTTCCTCCAGTTGTTGTTTTTACTGCATCAAGTTATGTATGAAATACCCATAAAATATTAGTCAGGGGTCGTCAGTTTACTCTGATAGAAAAGGTCTTCCTTAAGGAAAAAGGTTGGGAACCACTGGTCTCCACTGGTATCCTGTGGCATTAAAACAGACCAAACGTCCACATATTTCTGGCCACATTGTGTATAAACCACCTCTAACAGGTTATTTTTTGTTACTGGATTAGTTTAAGGTCCAACACTTTAATACAAACACCAAGAGTAACCGTAGGTCAGTATATTCTCTATTATTTATTTATTATTTATTTTAAAAATCGACCACTTGAGCTCAAAATATCAATTATAGTGTTTTTAAACAATATCATGAAGTTACATTTATATCCACTAATATTTTATTTTTACAAGATGAGAAAAACTACTAGTTGCCTGTCCTCCATTTCATCCTGTGAATTAACACCAACAAACTGGTTTAATAATAGAAATAACAGGAACAAATGAGATGTGTCGGGGTTTTGATGTCACGCCTTTGGGCCTCGTGAACAAACGTCTGCAAAGAGATTCTTTTTCTGTGTTTTTTTTTTTTTTTACACATTTGTGTGTTTATGTTGAAGTACAAATAATTTTGATGTGCTAACTAACTAAACTGTGTAACACTGACAGATTTATACTACACACCCACACACATATATATGAATACAGGGTGTGATTTTAGATATAAAAACGGGGACGCTGGATAAAAAGACACAATATTTGTTTAATGTCATACTACACTTAAATTCTATTTTTGACCTTGGAGATAAAAGCAGTATTTTGTGTCATTCGTTCCCCATCAAGTCACCCCAACACACACACACACACACACACACACACACACACACTCAGAGTACACCTCTCAGTATTCTGCAAAATCTCAGTGAAGGGACTTAATATTATTTATTGTTTCTAACTATTCCGTCGAGTTAACTCTACCAATAACTATATTTTTATGTGTGGGGTGAAGTTTCCAGAAAGTGTGCAGCAGTGAAACAAAACTACATGAAGGTGATGTTTAATCTAAACCCACAGCTACTACACTTCTAATCTTGGTTTGTTTAATTGCCTAAAGTAAGAACACTATATATTACCTCATATTTACAGACTCTGTTGTAGCTAAGATTGTTCTGATTCAACTTTTTTAGGGCTTGTTGTTTCAAATTCTGAGCCAATCAGAGCTGCCTTTTGTATGTTCCCTGACAAAAATATGTCCAAAAAAGCTGGACATGTGGCTGTGCTAGTATAAGCTGTCTTAAGACGGACTGCCCATTGTTCCGAAATCCAAATAGTCCTGAAAAATGTCCCATTGGACCATGAGCTAATTCGTCCATTTTACTAGTTTATTGCCCTTAAAGTCTCACTGTATTTGAACATGCTGGAAGATGAAGTCCTTGTTTACTCTACAAGTTTTTCCTTTAAACAAGTTTCATTGTTAAAACAATGCAGGTGCACACAGATAGAAGACTGAGTATAAACAGGAAGAGAAGACGAAGAAAACCGATCATTTTGTCATCCAAATTCATCTAGTTGGCTGAAAACATAATAGTTGTTTTTCACAACAAATGCGTATTTTGCAGTTTACATGGATACGGTGAGGGTGGTGTTTCCAAAAGATTGCATTGTAAACAGGGCAGAGGTCAGGTTCAATTCAAATCAAATTTTATTTGTATAGTGCCAATTCATTACAGAAGTTATCTCAGAACACTTTTCAAATAGAGCAGGTCGAGACCGAACTCCTTATAACATTAGGTGGGCGAGATTTGTCATAATGGTAACTATAGTGAACGCGTGGTTACCGTTGTGAAACAGTCGCAGTTTGGTTAGGTTTAGGCACCAAAACGACTTGCTTAGGTTTAGGTTAGTTATTAAAGTGTATTTTCAGAACAACCTGTTTTTTTTGGGACTATGGGGATGTCTAACAAATGGATTTTCAGTCCGATGAGATTTTCTTTTCGGACAATTAGGGTTTCGGAATAATGGGCTGTTGGGACAATGGTATGTCCTTGATACCAGTAGTGATGTCTCTAACTTACCTTTTGGCTTTCCTTTAGTTGGACAAGTGTTAACAGAAGTGGTTGAACCAGTGTTACCAACTGTTTTTATCGGAAAGTGGCTAAAGTCAAATGCTGCGTATGGTTTGTTTTTTTTGTCACATAAACTGAAAAGTGACAAAGAAATCGCAGACTCAAAGGCAACTTCACCCCTCCGTGTGTTTTTATGTATGTGTATATAGTTATTCTTCTAATTCTGTGTTTGACGTGGGCTGAACATGAGTTTCAGATACACAAGGGAACATTATTACAAGTGCTTCAGTGGATTTAATGAACTATCCATTTTTATTCATTAGGGTCCTCAGATTTTACTGTCAAAACAAGAACAACTGCCACTTGTTTGCTCTGAAAAGCCCTTTTTCTTGAATCACGTGACTTAAATCGCACAGAGCGATCTGCCTTTTTTATTATAATACTTTAACATGTTTCTAGAAAATCCAGTTACAAACTAATATTTACTGATATTGAGTCTTTATCAAACTCTATTTTAAGACGTGTTTAACAGCTAAATCAAGTTTATCTTCAAAGTCTGTTAAGAAAACTCGGAGAGATGTTAGCAGTGGTTATGAGAGCATTAATGTTAAAGGGTTTGTAATTCTGCATTCACACTGTGAGGTAATACTTCACTCTTCAGCACCACCAGTACATCAGGCTCTGGTGGTGCTCTGTTACAGGGTTTTTTTGTACAGTTGTAACACAAAACATATATTACCAATGCTTTGTTTTTTAACTTTTGTTATATTAATTACTTTGATGTAGCGCTAACCAGTACGGACAGAATACAACATATTCACTTGGATATATTTTGGATAAGACCATTGGTCCTTTTAATATACAATAATATGATTTGGATGCTATATCATAATTTTTTAAAGAAAAAAACAAAAGGACCAATAGCACCCGCAAACGGAGTTATTTTTAAACAAACAAGCTTAGGTGCTGTACACAGATTTACTTACCTTTAGAGGCGCCAGGACTTGGGCGTAACCCCATTTCCAGTCTTAATGGAAGCTAAACTAATCTCCTCGCTCCAGAGTTTACGGAAAAAGCAGCAATAGACCAAAGTGACATTTTACAATGCCCCCAGTTGGAGGACAAAGCACGGTGCTTAATACGCATTTACCCAAAGTTCAAATGATAGTTTGAATGTTAAATCATAAGTTACTCCCAAAGAGTCAGAGAAAGTCAGAGTTTCATGTTACTTAACTGTAAAAGAGCCTTTACTACCAAGAAAGGACAGTAGTGTAACCTATAAAATGTTCTTACCAATTTTTACAAAGCTCCCTTGGTGATAGCGTTTGGAAATGACCAAAAAAAAAGTTGTTTAGCCTAGGTTACGAGCTACATAGTTTATTGTCTATTTATGGGCCAGTCAGTTGGCTATTGGTGATTTTGTTACTAATTGATGGAGGTGCTCTGATACAAGTTTGGGAAATGCCTCCGATTCGACATAAAATGCTGTATCGGCTATCAGCAAGTATACGCTAACTCTTACTGGACTGGACACTGGGGCTACTGATTTAGAGCCCAAAACTAAGATTTCTGATGGACTAACACTAGCAAGAACTAGATACAAAGTTCATTCTCTGTAATTGTTTGTTTAAGAGTTTAAGCTGAGCCAGAAGATACAACAAAGACATGTTTTTTTTCTTTCTTTTATGTAACGCACTTGGATTGGTACTCGGCTGATACACAAAGTTTAGGTATCGTAATCGGTTTCAGGAAGGTAAAAATGGTATCAGAACATCTCTACTAATTTAGCTCATAGTGTGAATGCACGTTTTCCTTGACTTAAGGACTTAAACCCTGTGATGGCGATGAAGCACCCGTCCTCCGAGCTAAAAGATGCCTTATAGTGTTTGAATTTGACTGCAGAAGGGGGCGGGGGCTCGATGGAAGAACTTCCTTTCTCCTAACCACTGGTAACCGCTCTACCAAACACTTCCTGTACAGGCAGGTACACTTCCAGTACATCCTCGCCCAGGTTTGGTTGTTGTTAGCTGTACATAATGAAGGTTCATATTTTATATCGATGATGTGCAATTCTCATGAAAGGAAAGTTACTGAATCTTTTTTTGTTGTTGTTGTTGTTTTCTGGGTAAAACTAAACAAGTTTTGAAATGTTTTGTGCACGACTTGCAAAAATCATGAGGTGCAGGAGGTTTTTTTTTATTTTAATTTAACAATTGAACGAGAGTGATGGAGGGAAAATGTGGTTCTCATGCATTTTCTGTAAAATCTGACTCCCACATCACTCTTACAAATTAAATCAAGTGCACCTAAAAAAATACATCAAAAAAATATTTCAAACTGTGAATGTTTTTGTCCAGGTGTTTGTTAATTATCAGGGTACTGGCTTGCTTGTTTGACTGTTTTTTTTTTTTTTGTTCGTTTTTTTTTTTTCGTTTTTTTTTTATCAATGTTGAGGGAGCGCTGGTTTCGGTTCAGCCACGTCGGTGCGGTTGCGTCCTTACCACCAGTTCCAGTTAAAAAAAATCTATCAAAACTGACTCTCGCCCGTTGTCGGCTGATTTGAAACAAGTGCTCCCTATTTGCTGTTTTACTTGACAGCGGGAAGGAATGTGTATACAAACAAAGAGGGCCTGAAATTAACACTTAGCCACCAGCCAAACAATTTCAACTTCTATAGGAGTCTATTTGCCAGCCAATAGAGCCCGATTGTAAACACGGAAATGGTGAGTACCCCAAAGTTTTATATTAGAAATGTAGCGTTTGGGGTCTCCAGCATTTAGAAACAGCTGGATGCTAACTTGCACATGTTGGGAAATTAACATAACTAGCATTGATTCGGATAATCACCTATATGGAGAATATTTCAACAACTGACGGTCGCTTTGGACAATATTGGAGTTACATTTTCAAACCAGAAGAGGCCATATTTCAACTTCCAGTGGGCTGGTTTTGAGTAATTTTAAGGTTGTTTATATACATAATACATAACAGAAATCTTATGTCTGAACATTCCCACTGATTGAGCTTTCTTGGTTTTAAAATGCACGTCCAATGTTTTAGGCATATAAATAACCTCAAAAACAACTCAAAATGTGTCAAAGTCAGCCCAAGTGGAAGTTGAAATATTGCCACTTCCAGTTTAAACTGCCATTTTTGTTTTTTGTAAATGTCAAAAATGGATTCATCATCCTCAATAACCCCCATAACGACTCCAATATTGTCCAAATCGGACAAACAGTTGCTGAAATATTGTCCATAAAGATGATTATTAATACTAATTATGCTAATTGTCCCACATGTGCAAGTTAGCATCTGTCAGTTTCTAAATGCCCATACTCTACATTTCGAAAGTAAAACTTTGGGGTGCTCAACATTTCTGGGTTCACATGGCTGATAAGTAGACTATAGCCTGTTTGGCAATTTAAAAACCTGAAACTTTATTGACTTCTATAGGCAAACGAGATGGTGTATAAATGAAGTAATATACAGCTTTTTGAAATATTGTTTTAAATATAAAACTGAGAGAAAGCTCAAGTGTATAAAGAGGCTGGTAGTTAAAGTATATTTAACCATCGAGGTCAATAAATAATCAGTTTTTTGTCATATTTTGCACACTTTGGCGCACTTTGGCCTCTGAGGAATTTCTTCAGCTGGTAAAACACTATATTTGTTGGCTGGTCGGCGCAAACAAAGTTAGTTTCTCGCCCTGTTGAACAAAAACCAACAGAGTTTTAACATCATGTGGCTTCATGATGAACAAGTTTACAACCGACTGATTTATTTATTGTTATTATCTTGAAACCGTGACCTGTGTATTATTCCTAATGACATGCTGCTCTGGCTCTTTCAACTGGAAGTAAAACAGATGTCTTTTAAACTTCACTGGCTGCTTTCGTCTTTTTCCAAGAGTTTGTTCTTACTCAGATTCTTAACTTTGAAAATGAATTATGTTAATGGCGGATTAAGTCGTTGAATGGAAAAGGAGAAAAAAATTATTTAAACTTTTAGCAAATTTCATAATCTTTAAACATATAAATGAAATAAAAAATACCATAAGATTCCTTTAGACAAAACTGTGGGGGTCCTTGTAAAGCTTTGATTGTCTGCTGGGCTCAGACAACATAAGATTAAGAAAATATATATATTTAATATTTTATTAATAATGCATGCAACTGTAATTAAAGATGGATGTATTTATTAGTTTCGATAATTATATGCACAATGTAATAAACTTGTAATAAACTTTTTTTAATTATTTATTTTAGGCAGAAATTCGGGTCTGCGTAATTAAGTCTTATGCAAGTGTTTAGGGGTTGTGTACCAACATTCACCAGGAGGTGGCGGTACGCATTAAGAAGTAAGGGCACTCATGTGAATGAAAATCAGTGAGAACTGGCTCATTTCAGGCACTTAATTAAAAGAAAAAAGAAATTTAAGATATAAAATGGTTCAGAAATTAAAATATAGGAATAAAACAAGAAAAGTAAATCATTGTATGAGTAAGTTGTCTTCCTTATAGAGTCGTAGAATGGAGCACTGGTATGTTTCTCTCTATAAGGCCATATTACATGAGCCGCCTTCTTATTTATGTTCTCTACTGACTCCAAACTGTCTCTATTAGTAGTTGTAACCTTCAATCACAGGGTCAAGTGTTTAAGACAGTTTTTTCTTTTATCTGAATTATCTTGGTCAGGACTCCCTTATAAAAGAGATCTTGAATCGCAGTGGGAATATTACAGTTAAATAAAGCTTGAATACAATATAAAATGAGTAAAAAAGCAAAGTTGAGGAGGAGCTTGAGACACGGCAGCCGTCCCCGAGACCAGCAGCTTTTCGTCATCTAGTCAACATAAAAAGCCTTTACCCAGATATCTGAGGTAATAAAGTTACAAAACAAGACTTGAGTGTCATACATGATTATATAGCACCCAAATGATCATTTTATACACCAACAATAACAGTGGTAACGGTTTACATGTAAAAGAAAAAAACTGAACTGGACCAACTACATACTTTAATGAAGATAAGGTGATTTGATATGATTAGAAGTTCCAGAAAAGATACTACATTGACCTTGTTTCCTGGGTGAAGAATGTTTATATTGACTGTGATAATATGTTGCCACCAAAAATGTTCAACAGGACTCATTTGCAAATGTGCCTTAAATAAGATAAAGTGATAATCAAAGAGTTTCAACTCGCACGGGCTGTAAATCCAAAAACTTGTGACTCCTGTTTATGCCCATTTCCCCAAATATAATATAAAAAATAAAAAATGAAGCTTGATGATCAAACATGATTAAAATGCTATTTCTCTTTAAAATACAGTAAGAAAAGCCCAACAAAATTTCCCTGCAGGACTCCTTAGATGATGAAGTTGAACCAGCAGGAGGCGCTGTGGTTGTTACTTCCAGTTACACTCTCTTCACGAAGCTCAAAGCGATGTCTGATGGCAGGCCTAGTCTCTTGAGTTCATCTTTAAACTGGAAGACAAAACAGTAATCTGTAACTTCACCTAAATCCTACACACTGGTCCTCTAAGACTAAATATTTAAGTACATCAAATTTGTACTTAAAGGATCAGTGTGTAGGATTTAGTGGTATTTAATGGTGAATGTAATCTAAATTCCCCCAATCATTTAAAGACTGTAATGGGCCTTAAAACAAGAAAGAAATACAAAGTTAGTTATTACAAGCAATGAAAACTCAGGTATTTATGAGACTTTCTTATAATCAGACACAATTTCTTCAAAGAACATAATAAAAATAAGTGACTTTGTCTTAAATTAAGGCACCAGAAGCATGCTGCAACAGCTGCTTCATTTCCAACACTGGGACAAGACAACTTTCTCTTAAACTGAGTTTAAAGAGTTAAAAGTTGTGTAAGTGGTCTTACTCTTAAAATAATCTTGTTCCTCTGCTGGGATATGATGCAGACCATGTTTGGAACTTGTTACTGGATAAATCTGAGCTCAATATTAGCTAAAATATCTTATTAAGACAAAGTTAGATACATTTTCTTAAAACCAGATTACTTTTCTAATGCTAAAGATAGAAAATAATAAAAAAAATAAATAAGACAAATTTATATGAAACATATAAATTATAAATTGTTTTACTTTCTTGAGATTTCTCTCTGGCTGGAAAAACAGCTGCTACATTAAAAAAATAAAAAATAAAATGTGTCAAAATTCAGTAAACTTAAACTTAAGTGCAGATGGTCATTTATCCAATGAAAATTCAATGATGATTCTATTGAAATTAATAGATTTTGCTGCCAAATGTCACCACATTAAATGCTGGTGTGACTCTTTTTGTGACTCAGCAGATACCTTACATAAGTAAAAAGAAAGTCTGCACTTGTGAAAACCCTATCAGACATTCCTTGTAGCAACTAATGCATATTAAAAATATCTGATATCAGATAAGAAGCAGACTTACCTGTTGTACAACAATATTGCTGATGTAGTCATCAGACACCGGAAAGGGAACAGAAAACTTCACCCTAAGACCTACGACGACTAGAAACACAGTGACTCAACATTACAACAAAGGCCAGAAGAAAAACTGCTTTTGTTACTACTGAACAAACACACGAGTTAAAGAGGGAATGGTGGACGTACTGGATGGTGGTGGAGTTTCTGTGGTTGCAGTTGGTGATGGGTCTGTTAACAGAAGGCACAATAAAACAAGTTGGAGGTGACCTTTATCTAAAATCAGCTACAGAATTTGAAGCACGGACTGATAAAAGAGCTCTGCTCACCATTTCCAACGCTTACAATGACACATCGGAGCTCAGAGTGATACTTTGTTGAACTGAGGAAACAAATAAAGGGCTTAGTTACAAAATGGGGTATCAAGCAAGTAAAAAGTACAAAATATAACAAAAACTTAAACCAAATAAAATTAATATATTAACACACTTATTCTGTTTTAGATAATTGAGGAAAACTTCTATTTCTATTTACAAGTCTAAACAATTACAGTTGTAAAAGTCCTGATTACATTAACTGATAACTTCCAACTGAAAACTTTTTTGTGTTTGTTCAACATACGTTAAAGGTCCAGTCTGTAGGAAACTTCCCTATCTAGAGCCAGTGTTTGGTTTGTTTGTTCTGGGCCACTGTAGAAACATGGCAGACTCCACTACGTCTGTACACAAAAATGGCTCCGACAATTCCTATAGTCAGGTGATTATACACTAATGAAAACATATCTATGAATATTATATTACATTTCTTGCAATAGATCCTCCTAAATGTTACACACTGGACCTTTAAACACACTTCACTTTACTTTCATGTACTGTTTCACAGGTTAGTGTGTTAACTGACTTATAAACTGCTTGGACGACAAAGCAGATGGGGTGGCTTTCACCGTCTTCGTCCGCAGACGGCGTCCAACTCAGGATGAACTGTCCTGCTCCTGATCTAACCTGGTATATGTTGTACGGCCCGCTGAACAGCAGCTCAGAGATCCTTTAACAAACAGAATATTAATTGTAAAATGTTGTTTATCAAACTTAAATTTACATCTTTTACATAACTTAAGTAAGCATGATGTTTTTTAAATTAACATTTGTTTAAATCTCACATACCCCATGCAGTACTCCAAAGTACCCCTAGGGGTATGTGTACCCCTATTTGAGAAACACTGATCTAGAGGCATCTGCTCCTCCTTTAATACCATCAATGCACAGCTGGTTTTAGCTCATACTATTGTTAGTTATTACGTAATTGTAATAACACACTTACGTTCCCATCACTGTGACATCTGATTCAGTTTTCTTTGTTTTTTTAGTTTCCATCCTTCCAGTTGTTGTAGTACTGGCTGATGTTTGATGAGTCAAATGAGTTGGAAAAGCTAGCAAGCAGTCTGTGTTAATACCCAAAATGTTTAATGTTGACTTACGTGGAGATATTTGCCTGCGCATTGATGCTGATTTCCAGGGTCTGATTGACAGGAGTGTACAGCCGAGCTCTGTTGGCCGGTGTTGGAGGCAGAAACTTGGGCAGATAGAGTCCCTCTGTGCAGGATGGGACCACTGGGTCCACTGGAACAATAAAGAAAAAAACATGTGCCTTTCATGGTTTGCAGCTTTCATGTAACTTGCAATCCAAGAACTGATGGTCACTAACTCAGCTAAAGAGATTCCGACTTCAGTAAGTGTAGCCATGAGCCCAGCTTGTGAAAAAATTAAATCTGACCTTTTAAAACAAACTGGACAGGTATTTTGCTGAGAGAGTTGTTGGTAGTTGTCATCACCAGCACTCCGTTGGTTTGACTCAGAGTGATTGTCTGCCTGGGAAAGTCCTCCATCACCAGCTGTACGGCGTACAGACCTTCATTACTGCTACTGGTGGGGCTGAATGACAGCGAACAAGACTGCAAAAGGACAAAAATAAAGAAGCTTTTTTGGGGCTTTTATTGCTTTTTATTATAGTGACAGCTAAAGACAGGCAGGAAAGGGGGTCAGAGAGAGAGGATGACACGCAACAAAGGGTTGCAGGTTGGATTCGAACACTGGGCCGCTGCAGCAAGGACTCAGCCTTAGTACATGGATCGCCAGCTCTACCCACTGAGCTATCCAGGAACTCACAAAGTAAGGATTTGAACTGATCATGGCACTATATAAAAAAGCTTGGTGCCTCATGGTGGCACTACGGTGACCAGACGTCCCGGTTTGTCCAGGATTGTCCAGGTTTTGAGTTGGTTGTCCCAAGTCCCAACAAATACCCGTAAAACACTAAAATGTCCCGAATTGCCCCAGTTTTCATCACACTAAAAATCTGAATATTATACTTATTTTCAGCTGAGCTCAGATCAAGCTCTGTCCCACTCATTGTTACCTAACCTAACAATTCAGCACTAATTTGTCTGCATGTGTGTCAAAGTGTGGATCATTTTAAAGGTTAGCCTATGAGCTTATGACTCACAGTCATTATGCAGCAGTTTGCTGCCGTAGAAAAGTCTGGATGAAAAGTCAGAGGATCAACAGGAGTCTATACGGTTCATCCTCTTGGGAACATGAATGTCTGTAGAACGTTGCATGGCAGACAATTTAATTGTTGTTGAGATACAGTCCAAGTGACCACCAGAAGCAGCTAGCATGGCTCTTCCTCACACATTAAGTCAAATGGCATTATGTTAAATATGCATTCTTTAAAATAACAATAGCATTTTTAGGGCCACTTTGCTTACTAACACTAACACTTGTTACTCACTGATGAGAGGTTGAGAACAGACGCCGGTGTGCAGGGGTTACACTCTGACAGTACTGTGTTTCCATATCTGCATTTAACCTCGTCTCCATCAGGGTCAAACGCCAGCAGGTTGAAATCTCTCTGACAGTTTGAAGGAACTCTGAACAAGATAAACATAACTGACTCAGGACTATGAAACCAGTTTTGGATTAAGCTAAAATCAAACTGTAAAGAATTCTGGATTACAGATATATCGGAGTTAGAATAGTAAATAACAGTGTCATCAACATAAAGATAAACAGAACAATTCAAACACATTCAAGGTAGATCACTGATGAAAAAAAATGGCAAAAAGAAGTGGTCCCATGGTGGATCTATTTCTGTCAAACTATTCCTTGAAGAAATAATTTTGTCCTTAATATTGTCTCAGAGGACTTTATAATCTGTTCAACTCTCCTTAGACTCTTGATTCAGTTAAGACAAACATCCAAAGGGACAAAAATTGAGAAAATAACTCTTTAATGACGAATATTCTTCTTGAAGTCTAAGTTGATTTTAGCTTATTATATATGAGAAAGTATCTTTTTTTTATAAGGAATGTCTCATGCACAGAAGCAAATTGGTTGTGCTCTGGTGTTTGGTGGCAGTATTTGTTGGCATTAAGGGGTTTTGGATCTGTGAAAAAACGAGTAAGCTTACCTCACAGCTGGCAGTACGGTGGTTTGGGGTGATCTGTTGGGTATGTTGGTGTCCGACCGGTTCCGCAGCTCCACCCGAGTCACAGCTCTCCATGATACAATGCCATTTACGATGTTATTTATCCAGTTACCACCATCTAACCTGTGGTGGAATTTCATTAGAAAGTTATTGTGATACACAGAATCTTATGTATTTCAGGTGTTATTGTGTAAGCTGAGTTAGTTTCAAGAGTGCACTCACAAAAATAACTTAAATAATAAATAACAGGAAAAGAGAGGCAGAAAGGTACTTAGGGAGTGGCAGTAGGTTAGATATCGTGACAGTATGTGACAGAACATGTATACGTTTAACAGTTCTGGGTTTAAAGAACTCAATCTGACGGGTCTACTAAGTTCTACACCTTTCTGTTCTGACAGCTGAATTGTTAATCAGTTACTCTTGTTGCATTTGACAGAGATTTTCAGAGTTTTGTGGTAATGGGGAGGCAGTCAGTTCAGTCCTGTATTCAGACAGACTGGCAGCCTCCTCATTCAATGAGTTTCTGACACCTTAATGACTTTCAACCACCTACATTACCACAATCCTCACTGCAACAACCATCCATCAACAACAGCAGATACAAAGGAATTCCTGAATCTCTCTGAAGAGCACCTGGGCATAACAAGCCTGTCTCTAAAAACATTCTACTTATTATCCTCTTTTTGCCTCTTTCAAGACATCAGATTTCTACTTTCTGTCAACAAGTTATTCATTTCTGCACTATTGACAGTTGGTTAAGACAACTGCATTTACTGCCCATTTGTCAATTCTGTTCATAATCTTGTTTCAACAAAAAAAATATATATACATTTCCTTATACCAGATCACTTCCTGGTTTATTGTTTCATGTTAATCTGAACAATCTTCAGCCAGGTAGAAGCAAGGAGACAGAGTGAAAGAGAAACAGTCTTTGGAAGTACGTGTTGGTATTAATTCACTGTCTTTATGCTGAGAGAGTAACACATTCACAATGTCGCTCTCTCTGCTTCTGCTGCTGCTGGTCTGCAGCGTCCAGGCAACTGATTTTTATGGCACAGTGATGACCTACTACCCCAAAAACACTAACGCAGATGGATCTATGGCGGTATGTACAGTTTCATTCTAATCCAAAATATTCACCTTTTGAAATTTGACAATTTGTACCAAACTACAAGTTTGGTACAGTATTTCTGTGATGAAGAAAATACAGCAAATGTTGTATTTCTGTAAATTTTCTGTATTTTTTAAATGTAATGTGCATTAAAGCTACCCACACTGTAAAACCAGATAAGTTAATTTTATTAAAAATGTTTAAGTAACATTAACTCAATTTTGTAAGTTAAACAAAAACATTCTTGATCAAGTAGCTTTAGTAATGTTGAGTGAGTGAGAATGACTCAGTTTTGTACCTTTTATTTGTACTGTGAAAACAAAATACCTTTAAAAGAGTTATTAATCAGGAATGTTTCTGTAACTTACAAAACTAAGTCAGTGCAACTTAAAATTATTAGTAAAAGCGGCTTAATCAAGAATCTTTTTTATCCTAAAAAACTAAATTTGTGTTACTTAAAAGTTTTGATGTAATCAGTATCAGTGTTTTGAGTTAAATGAACATGTCTGGTTTTCTTGTCTTGTCTTATAGGATCACAAATGCAAATACATGTCTTCAAAAGTAGCATCTTTTCCAAAGTTAGCATTTATTTTGAAATAAATTATTACATATTGTGTTTGTACTGTTTCAAAATGTGGGAGTTGAACTTTTTTTATCTTGTTACAGCTTTTGGCTGTTTAGACCAGAGACAACTTTAGGGCCAAAGGGGGTTTAATTTAGGTTAATTCTTAAAAATATAACATCTACAGATGAAGACATCCATTTTGGTTGTTTATTACATAATACACTGTATTACATTGTCATAAAAAGTGCAACTCCTGCATTTTGTAATAACCACCACAAAATTTAATAATTCACCACAAAATGCAGGGAAATGTGTGACATATTGCTTTCAAACTGGTTATTTAAAGTGAAAATATCTCACATTTAGCTGACTTATTACACAATGTGTTGTTGCACATGGAAATAAACAACCTTTATATATTATGGATGTTGTCATTAATACCGACATCTTCATTGTAATACTACAGGTGGTTCTTCGCTATAAGGTGAACTTCCACAATTGTGCAGATGAAAGTGAAGCATCGAGGATCTGCACTGGGAATTGTGGGAATCAGAGCATAATCAAACACGAGGTAGACAGGGAGGACAGCGTAGCCCAGTTGGGCAACGGAGAGTGGTGTCAGACAGAGGGAATCCTGACTGTACAGGTTCTCAGCAACGCTCCGCTTGAGCTGGAGTAAGTGCACCATGACAATGCAAGAATTACAATTAAACTTTTTGAGGCCCTGGAAAGAAACCCTTCTTAATCGCCACCAAACAAGTAATCAATGGATTTTAAACACTTGATTTGTGGCGTCACAAACACCTTGTAGTAATATCTTTAGTTCACTCAGGTTCTGTGCAGCACAGTAAAAACTGACTTTCTCATTAACTTCCACCAACAGATTAAATGGTGGTGCCTGGATAGCTAACATTAATGGCATCGGAAATTGGAGTGCTGTGACTCAGGTGGAGCTGAGGAACCGGTCGGACACCGGCAAAGCCAACACATCACCCCAAACCACCATACTGCCCGCTGTGAGGTAAACTGCAAATCAGTTATACTTTATTATATTATATTTTGTATTAATCAGAATCTGCAAAGTAACTAGTAACTGAAGTTCTGAAATTGATGTAGTGGAGTAAAAAGTGAAATATTTGCATCCAAAAGAGAAACAGAAGTATAAATTAGCATAAAATGGAAAATTGCATATACCTTAACAGTGTACTTCAGTGCAGCAGGTGAGTAAATGTACTTTCACCACTGATATTATGAATCTTTTCATATTCAGAAATTTTGAATTTCTCTTTATTTCAGAGTTCCTTCAAACTGTCAGAGAGATTTCAACCTGCTGGCGTTTGACCCTGACGGAGACGAGGTTAAATGCAGATATGGAAACGCATCGCTGTCAGAGTGTGACATCTGCACGCCAGCGTCTGTTCTCAGCCTCTCATCAGTGAGTAGCTAAAGCAACTCTTATTTAAATTAATATTGTGCCTTATAACAACCTGGGCAGATAACTGAGAGTGTAGAAGAAACTACGGTGGCCACAAAACACCAAAGGCCCGATCTGGAGTCAGTGTTTGGTTTGTCTGTTCTTAGTTATTTTGATCTCATGTCCCCTTTTGTCCTCTTTCAGTCTTGTACTCTGTCATTCAGCCCCACCAGTAGCAGTAATGAAGGTGCATACGTCGTACAACTGGTGATGGAGGACTTTCCCAGGCAGGATATCATCCTGACTCAGACCAACGGTTCGCAGGTGGCGAGAAGTACAAACGACTCTATCAGCAAAATACCTGTCCAATTTGCTTTAAGGGGTAAGACTTCTTCTTTTGGCAACCTGGACTTAAAGCCACACATTTCAGCTAGAAATACTGTTAAACTTAAAAAGCAGGCTCCTAATTGGACACAGCTTCCCTTTTAGTGGCCTGTTGTGGCCACGCATTTTGACAAATAAATACAAGTCTCAATTAGACGCCTGGTCTGGACATCTACTGCTTGAGAAAAGACGGCTTGAGCGAGTTTTAAGCTGCTTAGATCGCCTACACAAATATAAATGTTTAAACTTTTACCAGTAGGGACATGCTACACATCGGTAGATCAGTTGGATTCGCCACAGTTCAACCATTCAGTTCATTTTACAGAAACCATGCGCACCAACAAATGATCAAACAAAAGATTTGTGACTAAGATGTCAAATTTTTATACAAGTAATATTTATACCGGTTTTAATTTGATAGTATTTCCCATCTTTGATGAGCAAGAGTTTTGTGCAAAAGGAATTTAAGGCCTGACCCGTATGCATGCTGGTTGAGTACACTGATTGAATCTTAAAAAAGCCTGGGCTATTAATTGAAGTCTTAGTAGTTGATCCTCTGTGAGTGAAAATCTATTTGTGGTACAGTACGTCTCAAGGCCCATAGGTGGCAGTGGTAGACAGACTGATGGATGGACGGACCAACCAGCACTGCCACCCTTAGGAAACCTTGACGTAGCTGAAATGTTTGCTTTTTCTTATTGTTCTAGTGGATCCTGTGGTGCCATCCTGCACTGAGGGACTTTATCTGCCCAAGTTTCTGCCTCCAACTCCAGCCAACAGAGCTCGGCTGTACACTCCTGCCAATCAGACCCTGGAAATCAGCATCAAGGCAGAAGCAAATATCTCCACGTAAGTCAAAGATAAAAGTAATTTAAACCATCAGCAACACATCTGACTCACTAAAACTCAGCCAGCCATACAATCACTGTCATTTAGGAAACAATATGAAAAAGAAATCTGAGTCAGATGCCAAGTTAGATAAAAAACCATCTCCATCCACCTGTGGATTCCAATCATGCCGTCACGCCATTTATGGCTGGGGCGGGTTTGAAAATGTTTGTCTTACAACTGATATCTTCTTCTGTTTTTTACAGAATTACTGAGCTGCTGTTCAGCGGGCCGCACAACACAAACCAGACAAATTCAGGAGTAGGACAGTACATCCTGAGATGGACGCCGTCTGAAAACGAAGATGGAGAAAGCCACCCCATCTGCTTTGTCATCCAGGCAGTTTTCAAGTCAGTAACTTGTCCCATGAACATTGAAACATACAAAACTGTACAAACTGATGTAAAAAAATCTTATATTTCCAGTTCAGTATATGATATGAGGCTACAGCTAGGGCTTAGCTTAGCATAAAAGCTGGAAATGGGGAAACCTCTGAGGCTCATTAAGTAATATCCTATGTCTAGTATATTTAATTTGAATTTGAAGTAAAAAAAAACAAAGTGTTGTGGTTTTATGGGGGGTTATGTGCAGAACTATTATTATATTATTATATACTCTTGGATGGGAGCAGTGACTTTATCTCCACTGGTTTGCTCAGTGACTCTCCAGTGACACCAAGACTCCAGGCTATAGATTCATATTTAACAGAGGCAGAGCAGCCGAAGGACGTCAGAGGGATATTCTCTCCATAAACTATGATCCAGTTTCACCCAAATCACGGATAAAGTTGTGTTTTTCTGCAGTAATCAGTAGAGCTAGAGCTAGACAACTAATAAATCTTCAACAAAGAAATTGAGTTTTTGTAAATACATCGTTAAATAGGGGTAAAATATAACTGAGGATGCAATATGAAAGGGTTAAAATTATTTTTTTTACTTTACCTGGACTTTAAAATGGAGGAGACCCCAAATACTTTCTATCTAATGTCTGAAAATGATTTGTGACATCAATTTTTACAACTGCACTGATTTATTTTCGCAGTTCAACCAAGTATCACTCGGAGCTACGATGTGTGATTGTGAGTGTTGGAAACGGTCAGTGGAACTATTCTTTACTTTTTATATTTTAAATTACATTTCCTGGATTGGTAAAGTTGACTTGTCATCTATCATTTATATTCACTTCTGTTTACAGCCCCAACAACAACTACAACCATTGATCCAACAACAACACGGATAACTACAACAACCACCATTCCCTCTATAACTACCCCACTACCTCCAACCACTATTCCATCCACAACAACTACCCCACTAACTACTACACCAACTACCACCACACAAACCACCATTACCTCTACAACTACACCACTACCTACAACACCTACTCCATTCACAACTACTACCCCACCAACTACACCTACTACACCCAATACCACCATACAAACAAACATTACCTCTACAAGTCCCCCACTACCTCCAACCACTACTCCATCCACAACTACTACCCCACTAACTACTACACCAACTACCACCATACAAACCACAGTTTCCTCAACAACTACACCACTACCTACAACAACTACTCCATTCACAACTACTACCCCACTAAGTACAACACCTGTAACTGAAGACCCAAACCAAAGTGAGTATGACAGATGGTGATGTTATCTCTTATGCATAGATACATATACTTAGCTAAGTAACAAGTGAAGATCTTGAATTATTAGTGAATGTAATGAGTGTTATGTGTGTATTATTATAGTTTGCCGATCCTTTTGACCTACATTGTAATGTTAAGTCACTGTGCTTCTAGTTGTTGCAGCTGTGAAAGTAAGGATTTCCACTACGGTTACCCTGTCTGAGGACGACTTCAGGTATATTTTCATACCACAGGTCAGTCTTTTTTTATGTAATGAGAAATCCTGTCAAAGCATCACATAACTGCACCTGCTGTGTATTAATATATAATTAATCAAGCACTCAACAGATAAACAGATAGATACTGTAAGACCTATAAGTGTAGATAGACACATTTAAAAACTGACTGATAAATCATCATCAAATAACCCCAAACATATTGAATTTCTGCCAATAAAGCCTCCAAAATGTTACACACTGGACCTTTAAAGGAGACATGTTATTGTATTTCTGTAAGTGAACTTGTTGTTGGTGAACAGCTGCACTGTAACATCGGTATTTATCTCAGTTAGTTTCATTCCCTCAAATACCTCAGAGAACTTAGTGATCATATCTCAGCATGTTTTCTCCTCCAGATTAAAGCTGAACTGGTGAGACGAGGGCTGCCATCAGACATCACTATAGGCCTTGTGAGTTATGTGCAACTGCAACGTGCAACCGCAGCGCTCTCTGTTGTTTCAACATGATCATTTATTGACCCCCGGAAGGAACATTTATTTTCACCCACAGTTAAAACTGCAAGTTCAGCTGCTTTAATGTGACCATAGTTATAGTTATTCCAAGTTTGGTGTTTGCTTGTTTTTATCACTTAACTGTATAAATGTAAAAAGTTACTGGTCATTTTTTTAATGTTTTTGCTGCCTTTAATTTTATATGCAATGTGTACTTATTTTATTTGCCTGTTTTGATTAAAGCCAACTACAAAAGCAAATTATTGCCAACAGAATTAAGCTTAAATGACTTAAAGATGTCAACAACCAACTAAACTAACTTTATTGACCATCATCTCAGTTATTACAGTTTTTCTTGTTTGCTTGAACACATTTGTCTTCAGCTTCTTGTAGTTACTGAGCCATTTGTTGATACATTACACAATTATAGTATATGTGACAAATAAATGTAAGAAGGCATATCACAAGATGAACTGTATTAATTTCTCCAAAATGATTATACTAGAGATAATAAACCCTGCCACACTTTTTTGAGATGCCCTGTTGAAAAACTGTAAAACAGACATTTTCTAATGAAGTTTTTATTCATTATATTCTTTTGTGCAGGTCTTTTAGTGCCAAATGTGGGACCTACAGTAAGCTCCTAGATTATACAAATTCATTATGATACAGGTTTTGTACTGCATTCTTTATTTATCAGAGAACCAATAAAGAATTTCACGTTCATTATGTTACAGCCTCTTACTCTCCTTATGTGCCTTTGGCCTCTTTGATTCATGCTTGCAAATAGCAACACAGATTAAGGAAGTTAATAACTAAGTACAAATGCTTTGAGATTGTACATTTCAGAGCTACTTTAGTAAAGAATCAGTTCTTCTACTTTTATCAGTGTTTTCTTTTTACCTAAGTATCTGTACTTCTACTTGAGTAAAAAATGTGTGTACTTTTGCTTCTGTTTGGATAAGAATTGATTGCTGATTAAAGAGCAGTCATTTCTATCTGCTGTGTATAGATTTTGAAAAAGGGTTAGGTGTGAAAAATGTGTTAGAAAATGAAAAAGGCTTCTGTTGTGCTATGAAGGCAATGATGAAGATCAAGTGGATCCCAGTTTCCTTCTTAGCAATAAAAAAAAACTGCACTGCAAAAACAGCTCTTCTAGAAAGAAGCCAAATATTCTTAAATATTATAAAATGTTATTGTATTAAGCAAAAAAAATTACCAATGGGGTAATCCAATTTAGCTTGGCTAGAATTCTTAAACTAGCATAACAATCTAGCCATCGAAAGATTGTAATGGGCCTTAAAACTAGAAAGAATTTTAAAAATGTAAGCAAGTCGTGCTTATAACAAGCAATGAATACTCAATTATTTAAGAAGGAATTTGTTAAAATAAGTATTTTGGTCACTTTATTGAGTTGGATTTAAAAATGTGTACCCTAATCTAAGATTAATTATTAGCAAAAAAATCTTACAATATGAGACAATTTCGTGAAACACTCAAATTAAATTGGTGACTTTGTCAAATACAGACAAGACAAGTCGAAACTGTGCAGCCAATGAGAGCAGCTCAATTCGCACTCGACTCTGGTGGCTATTAAAAGGATAGCCCCTTGAGGTAGAGCATCTCATTTTTGAGGGGGTCCTCAAAAAGACACAAATACAAAACAAAACACATATGAACAAAGAACAGCTTTACATAACAAACATTCACTGAAAATACAAACTTTTAAGGATTCTGGATTTGCAATATAGCAGCGTTAGAATAGAAAATAGCAGTGTTATCAGCATAAAGATGAACAGAACAATTCAAACACTTTTGAGGTTTTTTATAAGAAATGTCAGATGCACAGAAGCAAATTCGTTGCACTCTGGTTTTTGGTGGCAGTATTTGTTGCCATTGAAGGGTTTTGGATCTGTGAAACAATGTGATACACAGAATATTTTGTACTTACTGTATGTACTGTAGGTTTATTGTGTGTATTAGACCTCAACATAAAGTGTGTTAGTGAGTAATCAAATCACCAGGAGCCAACGAACAGCAATGCTGATGTTTGGCAACAATTCAAGTCTCTCTCAAAATAATAATTTCCTCATACCAGATCATTTCCTGGTTTATTGTGTTGTGTTAATCGAAACAATCTTCAGCCAGGTAGAAAAGGGGAGACGGAGTGGAAGAAATGCAGTCTTTGGAAGTACGTGTTGGTATTAATTCACCGTCTTTATGCTGAGAGAGTAATACATTCACTATGTCGCTCTCTCTGCTTCTGCTGCTGCTGGTCTGCAGCACCCAGGCGAGTCATTTTTATGGGACAGTGATGACCTACTACCCCAAAAACACTAACGCAGATGGATCTATGGCGGTACGTACAGTTTCATTCTAATCCAATTTATTCACCTTTTTTATTTTACCAGAGTTATAACAGTATTTCTGGGATGTAGAAACTAAGGAAAATGTTATATTTTGGAAGAAAAAATCTATTTTTTAGAATATAACAAGAATTTATCATTTTCCCCTTTTTTGTGAACTTTTTGATGATCTTAGCTGAATTTGTAAGATGATAATAACTTATTACAGCTTTTGGCTGTTTAGATCAGAGTCCACTATAACACCAAAGGGGGTTTAATATAGGTTAACTGTTAAAAATATAACATGTACAGATGAAGACATCCATTGTGGTTGGTTATTACATAATGCACGTTACATTGCATTGTCATCATAAAAAGTGCAATGTAATAACCAACACAAAATGTAAGTATGCAGTTGTTATTACATATGGAAGTGAGAATATATTACATTTAGTTGAGTTATTTCATAAGATGTTGTTACACATGGCAATAAACAACCTTCATTTATTACGGAGGCTGTCAACACATCTTCATTCTAATACTACAGGTGGTTGTTCGCTATAAGCTGAACTTCCACGATTGCACACATTCTGTATTATGGACCTGCAGTGGGAATTGTGGGACACAATCGTGGGACTGCTATGGTAACTGTTTACACGAGGTAGACAGGGAGGACAGTGTAGCCCAATGTCGGGCAACGGAGAGTGGTGTCAAACAGAGGGAATCATCTCTCAACAGGTTCCCAGCAACGCTCCGCTTGAGCTGATGTGAGTGCACCATGACAATCCAAAAGTTACATTATTTCAGACAGACAAACATTTTCCAAAATGTCAACAATGACACTAAATCTTTTGAGGCTCTGGAAGGAAACCCTTCTTAATCGCCACCAAACAAGTAATCAATGGATTTAAATACTTAATTTGTGGCATCACAAACACACCTTGTATAAATATCTTTAGTACACTGAGGTTCTGTGCAGCACAGTAAAAACTGACTTTCTCATTTACTTCCACCAACAGGTTAGATGGTGGTAACTGGTTATTTAATAGACATAACATCTATTATTAACTATTGAACTTAACAAACATACGTCATGAAAACCGCCCAAGTACCTAAGCCTCATTTTCCTGTTTTTATTTATTATTTAAGTTCTTTGTGAGTGCACTCTTGAGACTAACCAACACCTAAATACATAAGTAAGTGAATCACAATAACTTTCTAATGAAATTCCACCACAGGTTAGATGGTGGTAACTGGATAAATAACATCGTAAATGGCATTGTATCATGGAAAGCTGTGACTCGGGTGGAGCTGAGGAACCGGTCGGACACCGGCAAAGCCAACACATCACCCCAAACCACCATATTGCCTGCTGTGAGGTAAACTGCTGGGTAGCTTACTCTGTAATAATAAATAATAATTAATTAGATTATTATAATATTGTATTGATCAGAATCTGCAAAGTAACTAGTAACTTACGTTATGAAATAAATGTAGTTGAGTAAAAAGTAAAATATTTGCCTTCAAAATGTAGTAATATAAATTAGTACAAAATGGAAAATTACAAGTACCTTAAAATTGTACTTCAATGCAGACGTTGAGTAAATGTACTTAGTTACATTTTACCACTGGTTATCATTAATCTTGACACCAAGATTTTCATTTTAACTCCAAATTTGGCTCCAAATATCTGCTATCAGCCACCTTTATTCCCATTAATCAGTATTTGTTTCTATCCTGATAAAACCATACTGGTTGATTACTCATAGTTTTCTTAGATTTAAACTTGTTATGCCCAGAAAAAATAGATAAAAAACTCTGAAATCTGCTGAAATCTGCTGACCTGTGTTCAAGTTCAGGTTCAAGCTTTGAGTTAGAAACGTGAAAATGTAGAGGAACAAGGGAATCAGGTTGCATTTACCTAGCGAACTGCCTGCATGGTTTACACAGACAGTAACTGAGGGAGAGGAACTTTCTCTTTATTTCAGAGTTCCTTCAAACTGTCAGAGAGATTTCAACCTGCTGGCGTTTGACCCTGACGGAGACGAGGTTAAATGCAGATATGGAAGCGATGCACAGTCAGAGTGTAACCCCTGCACGCCACCATCTGTTCTCAACCTCTCATCAGTGAGTAGCCAAAGTAACTCTTATTTAAATGAATATTGTGCTTTATAACAACCTGGGCAGATAACTGAGAGTGTTGAAGAAATTAAGGTGGAACACAAAAGGCCCGATCCAGAGTCAAAGTTTGTTTTTTCTGTTCTTGGTTCAATTGACTTCATGTCCCCTTTTGTCCTCTTTCAGTCTTGTACTCTGTCATTCAGCCCCACCAGTAGCAGTAATGAAGGTGCATACGTCGTACAACTGGTGATGGAGGACTTTCCCAGGCAGAATATCAACCTGACTCAGACCGACGGTTCGCAGGTGGCGAGAACTACAAACGACTCTATCAGCAAAATACCTGTCCAATTTGCTTTAAGGGGTAAGACTTCTTTTGAAACCATGGACTTAGAGCCACATATTTAGTAGATGATATTCTGTGAGTGAAAACAATTGTTTTTTATATATATATATATATATATAACTGACATTGCAATGAATCTTGTTTAACATGCTGATGTTAACAAACTTTTACCTCATCATGACCCTAGCAGAAAACTTACAACACAGTACACTTCCAACCTACACAGTATTTAGATATTTCACTGAATAAGTAAAGAATTTCACCTGCTGGTGGAACAAGACCAAGAGGGGACCACTAAAGATAGACAGACTGACCAGCACTGCCACCCTTAGGAAACCTCAACGTAGCTGAAATTTTGTTTTTTCTTATTGTTCTAGTGGATCCTGTGGTGCCATCCTGCACTGAGGGACTTTATCTGCCCAAGTTTCTGCCTCCAACCCCAGCCAACAGAGCTCGGCTGTACACTCCTGCCAATCAGACCCTGGAAATCAGCATCAAGGCAGAGGCAAATGTCTCCACGTAAGTTGAAAAAAAAACTAATTTAAAAGAAATGTAATGTTAATGATGCCGTGGTGGAACTGGTTAGATAAGAAATATTTTGCTCCACATTAAGACAGGAGTTGCATACACAAATGGTTTTCAAGTGCACAGTTACTCTTGTGTAACTCCAACACTGATGCTAAAGCAGGTTTGACACAAATGCAATGCGTGTAACAGAAGTAACTGTGTAGTGCTGTTAAGATATACACACAGCACTATACATATAGACAGCAGTATGCATTCAAAGCCAAGAGAAAACATGACAAACTTCCTGTATTGTGTGTAAGGACCTATTGATTAAGTTTCACAAGCTTAGAGCTTTAAAAGATAATACGCAACAACAAAACAATAGAATCAGCAGCACATCTGACTCACCAAAACTCAACCAGTTCTACAACCACTGTTATGAAGGAAACAACATTAAAAAGAAATCTGATACCAAGTGAGAAAAAAAAAAAGTTTCCATCCACCTGCAGTAGAATTTGTGGGTGGGGAGGTTTTGGAAATTCTTGTCAGACAACTGTATTGATTTCTTCTTCTGTTGGTTACAGAATTACTGAGCTGCTGTTCAGCGGGCCGCACAACACAAACCAGACAAATTCAGGAGCAGGACAGTACATCCTGAGATGGACGCCGTCTGAAAACGAAGATGGAGAAAGCCACCCCATCTGCTTTGTCATCCAGGCAGTTTTCAGGTCAGTCACTTCCCCCTGAACATGTCCCTGTTTGATGACAGGAAGTAAAGCACTGAGGTTTGTCCATCCTGGACTTTTAAAAATGGAAGAGACTTCAAAACGAATTCTATCTTGAAATGTCTGAAAATGATTTGTGGCATAATTTTCTGCAAATAAAACAACTGTACTGATTTATTTATGCAGTACAACCAAGTATCACTCGGAGCTACGTTGTGTGATTGTGAGTGTTGGAAACGGTGAGTGGAACCATTCTTTATTTTTTGTGTTTTAAATTACGTTGCTGATTTCCTGGATTGGTAAAATTTACTTGTCACTTCTGTTTACAGCCCCAACAACAACTACAACCATTGATCCAACTACAACAACCACACAAAGTACAACCACCATTCCCTCAACAGCTATCCCACTACCTACAACCACTACCCCATCCACAACTACTACACCACAAATTACAACAACTACACCACCAACTACAACCACTACCCCATCCACAACTACTACACCACAAATTACAACAACTACACCACCAACTACAACCACTACCCCATCCACAACTGCTACACCACAAATTACAACAACTACTGCACCAACTACCACCACACAAACGACTGTTCCCTCAACAACTACCCCACCAACTACAACCACTACCCCATCCACAACTACTACACCACAAATTACAACAACTACTGCACCAACTACCACAAAAACGACTGTCCCTCAACAACTACCACCAACTACAACCACTACCCCATCCACAACTACTACACCACAAATTACAACAACTACACCACCAACTACAACCACACCCCATCACAACTACTACACCACCAACTACAACCACTACCCCATCCACAACTGCTACACCACAAATTACAACAACTACTGCACCAACTACAACCACTACCCCATCCACAACTGCTACACCACAAATTACAACAACTACCGCACCAACTACAACCACTACCCCATCCACAACTACTACACCACAAATTACAACAACTACACCACCAACTACAACCACTACCCCATCCACAACTGCTACACCACAAATTACAACAACTACACCACCAACTACAACCACTACCCCATCCACAACTACTACACCACAAATTACAACAACTACACCACCAACTACAACCACTACCCCATCCACAACTACTACACCACAAATTACAACAACTACTGCACCAACTACCACCACACAAACCACCTTTCCCTCAACAACTACCCCACTAGGTACGACCACAATCAATGAAACCACTACAGCTCCTTCTACAACCACTACACCAACTACAACACCAACACCTGTAACCGAAGCCTCGAACCAAAGTGAGTATGACAAATGGGGAAGTTATCACCTTTTATGAATAAATACATATACATGACTACTAGTCAAAGAACAATGGCACTTGATCTTGCCTATGAGACTCTGCATTATTACTCATTTTGACCACATTGTAATGTTGAGTCATTGCATTTCTAGTTGTTGCAGCTCTGAAAATAAGGATTACCTCTACGTCTCCCCTGTCTGAGGACTACATCAGAAATACTGGCCTACAACAGGTACGTCTCTTCTTAAGTAACGAGAAATCCTCAAAACATTAGATAACTGGACCTGCTAAGATGAGTAGCAGCTTTAATTATACACCGATGAGCCATAACATTCTGACCACTGACAGGTGAAGTGAATAACACTGATTATCTGGTTATCATGGCACCTGTCAGTGGGTGGGATATATCAGGCAGCAAGTCACCATTTTGTCATCAAAGTTGATGTTTTAAAAGCAGGAAAAATGGGCAGCGTGAGGATTTGAGTGACTTTGACAAGGACCAAATTGTGATGGCTAGACGACTGGGTCAGAGCATCTCCAAAACTGCAGCTCTTGTGGGGTGTTCCCGGTCTGCAGTGGTCAGAACCTATTAAAAGTGGTCCAAGGAAGGAAAAGCAGGTGAAAGCATTCTTTAATGGAAAAGTTATTCCCTGATGGCAGTGGCCATCTTTCAGCAGGATAATGCCACAAATTAAAAATGGTTCAGGAATGGTTCAACTTGGCCTCCAAATTCCCCAGATCTCAATCCATCTGTAGGATGTGCTGGACAAACAAGTCCAATCCATGGAGGCCCCATCTCACAATTTACAGGATTTAAAGGATCTGCTGCTAATGTGTTTGTGCCAGATACCACATCACCATTCCATTTCATTTATGCCCATAAAGCCTCCTAAATTTTACACGCTGGACCTTTAAAGGAAAAATTTAAAATGTATTTCTTTAAGTGATCATATCTCAGCACCACTGTGTGTTCCCTCCTCCAGATTAAAGATGAACTGGTGAGACGAGGGCTGCCATCAAACATCACTCTACGGCTTGTGAGTAGTGTGCAACTGCAACCTACAACCACAGCGCCCCCTGTTGTTTCAACGTGATCATCATTTATTGACCCCTGGAAGGAACATTTATTTTCCATCTTCCGTTAATTGCTAAAGTTAAAACTACAAGGCCAGCTGCATTAACGTGACCATTACTATATGACTATACAGGTCCATTCCAAATGTGGTGATTATTTTATTATTTCAAAATGTTAAAGTTTGCAGATTTGCACTGTGTGATTAGAATGTGTTTGTAATGCTCACTACCTGAAATTACTGCCTAAAAGGCTTTGCTGCCTTTGATTTTATATGTTATGTGTACTTTTTTATATTAAAGCCAACTGCAAAAGCAAATTATTGCTAACAGAATTAAGTTTATCTGACTTTAAGATGTCAAAAACCAACTAAGATCAGCATCTCAACAAAAAATACAAAAATGGATACCAAAATGTGACTTTATCCACATTATATTACAACATTCATTGAGCGTCATATAAGTTATAACAGTATTTCTCATTTGCTTGAACACATTTATCCATTCAGAAGTTACATTTTTAAAACTGTTGTTTGCACAATGCTCTAAAACTCACACAATCATTAAAAACACGCAACAAAAGCAAATATTTCCATCAAACAACACAATCAGTGGTCAAATTAATGTATTCTTTCCTGGGGGTTGGGACACCCACTTGGGGTTACCAAAGATTCTTGATAAGGCGTGCTAGAAAACTTAGACAGTAGGCCTATATCTCAGTAATTGGTTCACTTCTGTAATAGAACAAAGTGTCAGGAATAAGAAAACTAAATCGGAATATGTTAAAAATGATTAAAAATACATAATACAGACAGAGAACTGCGCAAAAAGTTCCATGAACAGGTAATAATCTGCTCAAAGTTCATCCAAATAACTCAGACAAATGTCTTGCAGTGACTGAGTTCACTATTCGGGTTAATTGTACAGTTTTGAATATGATATCATAAAATGTTATTAGTCAGTCACTTTACTAAATCATAGGATCTATCTATCAATATGAACCTGTTCAACCTTAATTTGTGCTTTATGCCTGTGTCATTTGTCCTTTACATAATTATAGTATAGGTGCCAAAAACTTAGCAAGCATATCACAGCATGAACTGTATTCTTGTCTCCAAAATAAAATGAGGTGCTACCTCTCAATGGGCTATCCTTTCAATGAATTGTCATTGTCAGTGATTAAAGTTATGCAATCTGTTGAGAACAGGCAGAGGGAGCCACTGCTGAAAGAGTGACACATCAAACACATGTACAGACTAAACCACCTGTCTGATTACAGCCTCAGTGACTGTTCTTGTTCATCAGTTGCTTCACTAAAGATCTTTGTATGGAACAGGTCCGCCTACTTGAACCAATTATGACTCAAGCCTCGATGAGTCTAAATAAAGAATGTTACGTCTGATGATGGAGCTCTGCGGATCCTTTGGTTCAATTTTGGTTTGAACACCGTGATGTAAATTTAAGTCATGTATTCATGTCAATTTGGGAGCTTACAGAAGGCTCCCCAATTTTTTTAATATGCGTTGTATCTCTCCATCACATTTTATTCTGCTTTCGTATGTAATATATTAATTAGTATATTTTGTAAAAATGAATAAAATCTAAAAGAAATATTAAATTTAATGGGTAAATGCAATAGTAGAGACTGTATCTCAAGCTTTTGTTTTTATTTCTGTCTGTATAATAATATTTGTCTGTGGTGACATTTAAGACATTCAGAATATATAGATAGATAGATAGACTTGATAGATACCTGGAGGGATAGATAGGGTAGTAGATAGCTAGCTAGGTACTTTAATAATCACGGGGGGAAATAAAGAGCCAGGTACATTAAAATACAAAAAATACTTCGATAGAAAAGATAAAATTGTCTCTTATATTACAATACAAACACAACACTTTGTGAAAGCAGTTGATTCACAGTCATGTACACATCCCAGTTTTATACTTAAGACATTGCCTGTATATATTTATCTTACTTTTGTTCATTTTGTGAGTACGCAATATTGTTTCAAAAAGTTTTAAATATTATTATTATATTATTATTAGTGAACTAAAATGTTTTTTTCACACCTAGTTTTAGTCTTTAGTTTAGTTAACTTATAATAACCTTGGTCTCAACTGTATTTTGTATTTTGAATGTATGTTTATTGTGTGCTCTTTGGAAACATTGCATTAAAGTATACTTTAAGATTCATTTATTAACACTTTTAGGCAGAAATTCAACACACCCCTTATATAAAACACTTTCACTTCACTTTACCAACAAGTCTCCTCTTTGCAGACTTTATGCTAATCCCATGCAATTTTGGGCAAAAACCATTCAGTATCTTGCACGTGTGATTTTGTTCTGCATACCGTGGTCCACAAAGAGTATTGGAATTGCATAAGGTACGATTTTGAGGACTTAAAGAATCAAGTATGTATTATCGGAATCATTTATCATCTCGCAATATCTCTCAAATTAATCGCAGTATGTTTTTACAATATCGTGCAGCCCTATGTGGTACCACTCTGCTGTGTTGGTAATAGGTTAGTAATTAAAGTAGACATACTTTAAATATATACTTGATGCCACCATTGCAGTCAAAAAATGCCCTGTTATTGACATAAGACATATGGTGCACTTACCGAAGGTGAAACAGGGCGTTGCTGGGAACCTGCAGCGTCATGATTCCCTCTCTCTGGCACCACTCTCCACTTCTCTCACGGTAGACTACATTCAGCGCAAAAGAACTCTGGGTCCCACAGTTCCCATTGAAGCAGTCCCACGTGTCCCCATCAGTACATGAGTGGAAGTTCAGCTTATAGCGAAGGACCACCTGCATTGATTAAACATCCATAAGACAAAGAAGGTAGGTGAGCAGATGCTGACTACACTTTGTAGGCAAACTGATGTGAAATTGAGGTTCAATTTCATTTAAATGCCACAAAGTAAAAATAATAAATAAGGAAATACTAACTTCAAAGTAGCATTCAGAGCATTATAGGGCACTAAAGTCTTTTAAATTTGCTCTGTCAAATTGTTATATTCTCATTTCTGAAAGCTAAATTGTTTAGAAATAAATACATACCGTGACAGATCCACTGGTGCTGGTCGCTTTTGGGTAATAGGTCATCACTGTCCCAAAGAAATGAGTCGCCTGGGAGCTGCATACAAGCAGGATCAACAGCAGCGGCACACAGAGCGACATACTGCAGCCTCTCTACACACTAACTATTACAAACAGTAACACACACGTTTTATCTGTCTAACAGAAGAATAAACCAGGAAGTGACCTGGTATGAGGAAAATTCTTGAAATATTGATTAACCAAAACAAAAGTTTTTTGTGCACTAGTTTAAGATAGGGTTTTGTACATTTGTCACTTATTGACATGACATGGGGTCGAAAAAAGATGATTAAATAACAACACGTACACAAAAGTGGTACAGCCTGTAAACAGAAGACGACGTCTGTCACACTATTTTCTACAACCACACACTCTTAAGAAGCTGCCTCTACTATTTTATTCATTGTGATCTTAAGCAAGCAAGTTTTACACAAGAAAAGTATCTGAGTGGTATCTGTATTGGCAGACTCTCTATACTGAGCTATAGTAATTTCTGCTGGTTGATAATACTGATTTATTTTTTATTTTTTTAATAAATCAAAAGATCATCAAAGAATTACTGATATTAGTTTGGCTATTTTCCAACTGCCTTAGAACAATTTAGATTTCTTGCGAGGTATGTTTTTGTTTACATGTATACAAAAGAAACAAATTATATACATGAGCAGCATAAAATGTGATGAAGAGACACAGTGTAAATACAGATATATATTAATTCCAGATGATATAATGATACTGTCATAGCTCTCGTTGTAGGACCACTTTTAGTCTTCTGTAGGCTCCAAAATCCCCATAAATACGTGAATTAAATTGACATCACAGTGTTTAAACAAAAGGAACCGCAGGGCTCCTCCAGACATAACATCTTTTCTTTAGACTCATCGAGGCTTGAGTCATACATGGTTCAAGTAGACGGACCAGTTCCTTACAGAGATCTTAAGTGAAGCAACTGATGAACAATAAGTCACTGAGGCTGTAATCAGACAGGTGGTTTAGTCTGTACATGTGTTTGATGTGTCACTCTTTCAGCAGTGACTCCCTCTGCCTGTTCTCAACAGATTGTACAACTTTTAATCACTGACAATGAGAATTCATTGAAAGGATAGCCCATTGAGATACCCATGTGTTAGTTAATGTTACGCTTCACACACACACACACACACACACACACACACACACACAACACACACACACACACACACCTTTTCATTTAGCTTAGTTCCTTTTCAGTTTAATTTCATATTGTGTGTTTTCATCTGTTTTGCCTGTGTTATCTCTTTAATAAATGCTTGTGTTTATACATGCTGGCCTATTTAGTTTCACACAAGAGTGGGTGATACCAGCCTCTTCTATGCAGAATTCCACATCCTTCCACATCCTTCCACTTAAGCTCTTGATATGGTGATTTTTGTTATAGTTCATTTATTATTAATCTCATTTCCAAATGTATAGCTAGGTGTAATTTATGAGACTGAATCAATCCATTATTAATTATCATTTCCCTTTTTTAAGAGTGGAACTTTAATATTAATCAAAGATATTATTTATTATTTTGATAATTAATCAATTTTAACAATGTGTAATATGCTTGCTTACTTGCCGACCCCCCACGTTGGGAACCTCTGGTGTAATGCTTGATTAAAGGAATGCATTAATTTGACCATTAATTGTGTTGTTTGATGGAAATATTTGCTTTTGTCTTTTTGTTTTTAATGTTTTGTGAGTGTTAGAGCATTGTGAAAATGTAAAATGAAAAAAGTCACTTTTTGGGACTCATTTTTGTAGTTTTCGTTGAGATGCTAATCTTAGTTCAGTTGGCTGTTGACATGTTTAAGTCACATAAACTTAATTCTGCTAATCATTTGTTTTCTTCAGTTGGCTTTAATATCAATAGACAAATATCAAGTACACATTGCATATAAAATATAACTAAAAATATATTAAGATTTTAATAGGAAAACCTGTTTTACATTCATACAGTCAAGTGATCATTACAACCACATTCTGATCACACAGTGCAAATCTGCAAAATAATTATCAGTGTTGGATTTTTTCATCAGATAGTCATATACAACTATGGTCACCTTAAAGCAGCTGGCCTTGCAGTTTTAACTTTGACAGGCAACTGAAAATAAATGTTCCTTCCAGGGATCAATAAATGATCACGTTGAAACAACAGGGGGCGCTGTGGTTGTACTTTGCAATTGCACATAACTCACAAGGCGTAGAGTGATGTTTGATGGCAGCCGTCGTCCTATCAGTTCAGCTTTTATCTGGAGGAGAAAAGTGGTGCTGAGATATGATCAGTAGATATGATGATATGATGCTTCTACATGAAGTGGGAGGCATTTGACGAAATAAAACAAACTTCATGTTGTTTACCAACAACCATAAAAGTCTAGTGAGTTCACTAATAGAAATACAATTAGATTTCACCTTTAATTAATGTTAACACAGGTCCTTTAATGTTAATGATCTGATTCAGAATCACACTCATACTTATTTGTTCCATTTTCCACTTTTTTTTATCTTCCAATAAAATAAAAAACTAAGCAAAAACATGAACACAGGTGGATGGAAATGCACTTCTTGTTATTTTGACAATGATTTTTGTAATGTCTGTCAAGATTTATAGGTCCTATAGTATCTATCAGTCCTATCTACTGAGTCCTGACTATTACCATATGTTGGCACCTAGCCTTCATGTATTTATTACATATTCAGACAGAGCCACTAACATATAATTAAAGCTCCAGCTTGTCCCAACAGGTGCAATTATCTGATGCTTTGACAGGATTTCTCATTAACTTAAAAAGAGACTGACCTGTTGTATAACTGTGTTCCTGATGTCGTCCTCAGACAGGGGAGACGTAGAGGTAATCCTTATTTTCAGAGCTGCAACAACTAGAAGCACAGTGACTCAATGTTACAATGTGGTCCAACTGAATAATAATGCACTCTTAGGCAACATCAAGTGCCATTGTTCTTATGTCCTCCCTTGTCACTTGTAGTTATGTATATGTATTTATTTATAAGACATGATAACATACTGCAAAGCATCCCCATTTGTCATACTCACTTTGGTTCGAGGCTTCGGTTACAGGCGTTGTGTGGTTAGGTGTAGTACCAGGTGGTAGACTTGCTGTTGTAGTTGGTGTAGTGGTTGTAGAATTAGCAGTTGTCTTTTGTGTGGGAGTGCCAGCGGTTTGCATGGTTGTAGCCTGTCTAGTGGTACTTGGTGCAGTAGTTGTGGTAGTTAGTGGTGTAGTTATTGTGGAAGGAGTAGTGGTTGTAGCTGGTGCCGTTGTTGTAGTTGTTGTAGTGCTGGTTGTAGTTAGTGGGATAGTCGTTGAGGGAATTGTGGTTTGTGTGGTTGTAGCCTCTGTGGTGGTTGTTGGTGCAGTAGCTGTGGTAGTTAGTGGTGTAGTTGTTGTGGTGGCTAGTGGGGTAGTTGTTGAAGTTGTTGAAGCAATGGTGGTTTCTATGGTTGTAGCCTCTGTGGTGGTAGTTGGTACAGTAGTTGTGGTAGGTAGTGGTGTAGTTGTTGTGGTTGTAGTTGTAGTTGGTGCAGGGAGGGTCATACTTACTGGGGTAGTTGTCGAGGGAACGGTGCTTGTGCTCTGTGTTGTTGAAGTAGTTTGTGTAGTGCTAGTTGTAGGTGGTGGGGTAATTATTGAAGGAACTGTGGGTTGTGTGGTTGTAGCCTGTGTCGTAGTAGTTGGTGCAGTAGTTGTTGCGGATGTAGTAGTGGTTGTAGTTAGTCTGGATGTTGTAGTTGGTGTAGTGCTGGTTGTAGCTAGTGCAGTAGTTGTTATAGTTAGTGGCGTTGATGTGGTGGTCGCTAGTGGTGTAGTTGTTGGTACAGTAGTTGTGGTAGTTAGTGGTGTAGTTGTTGAGGGAATTGTGGTTTGTGTGCTTGTAGCCTCTGTGGTGGGAGTTGATGATGAACTTGTTGTGGATGTAGTAGTGATTGTAGTTGGTGTGGGTGTTGTAGTTGGTCTCGTGCTGGTTGTAGTTAGTGGGGTTGTTGTTGAGGGAATGGTGGTTTGTATTGTTGTAGCCTGTGTGGTGGTAGTTGGTGCAGTAGTTGTGGTAGTTTGTGGTGCAGTTGTTATGGATGCGGTAGTGGTTGGTGTAGTGCTGGTTGTAGTCAGTGGGGAAGTTACTGGCAGAATGGTGGTTTGTGTGGTTGTAGCCTCTGTGGTGCTAGTTGGTGCGGTAGTTGTGGTAGTTAGCGGTGTAGTTGTTGAGGGAATGGTGGTTTGTGTGGTTGTAGCCTCTGTGGTGGTAGTTGGTACAGTTGTTGTTGTGGATGGAGTAGTGGTCATAGGTGATGCCGTTGTTGTACTTGGTGTAGTGCTGGTTGTAGTCAGTGGGGTAGTTGTTGAAGGAACGGTGGTTTGTGTGGTTGAGGCCTGTGTAGTGGTAGTTGGTACAGTAGTTGTCACAGTTGTTGCTGCAGTTGTTGTGGAAGGAGTAGTGGTTGTAATTGGTGCCATTGTTGTAGTCAGTGGGGTAGTTGTTGAGGGAATGGTGGTTTGTGTGGTTGTAGCCTGTGTAGTGGTACTTGGTGCAGTAGTTGTGGTAGTTAGTGCTGCAGTTGTTGTGGATGGAGTAGCGGTTGTAGCCAGTGTGGTTGTAGTAGTTTGTGTAGTGCTAGTTGTAGGTAGTGGGGTAATTATTGAAGGAACTGTGGGTTGTGTGGTTGTAGCCTGTGTCGTAGTAGTTGGTGCAGTAGTTGTTGCAGATGTAGTAGTGGTTGTAGTTAGTCTGGATGTTGTAGTTGGTGTAGTGCTGGTTGTAGCTAGTGCAGTAGTTGTTATAGTTAGTGGCGTTGATGTGGTGGTCGCTAGTGGTGTAGTTGTTGGTACAGTAGTTGTGGTAGTTAGTGGTGTAGTTGTTGAGGGAACTGTGGTTTGTGTGCTTGTAGCCTCTGTGGTGGGAGTTGATGATGAACTTGTTTTGGATGTAGTAGTGATTGTAGTTAGTGTGGGTGTTGTAGTTGGTCTCGTGCTGGTTGTAGTTAGTGGGGTTGTTGTTGAGGGAATGGTGGTTTGTATTGTTGTAGCCTGTGTGGTGGTAGTTGGTGCAGTAGTTGTGGTAGTTAGTGGTGTAGTTGTTGAAGGAATGGTACTTGTCCTCTGTGTGGTTGTAGCCTCTGTAGTGGTAGTTGGTGCAGTAGTTGTGGTAGTTAGTGGTGTAGTTGTTGTGGTTGTAGTTGCTGTGGGTGTTATAGTTGGTGTAGTGAGGGTCGTACTTACTGGGGTAGTTGTCGAGGGAACGGTGGTTCCTGTGTGGTTGTAGCCTGTGTGGTGGTAGTAGGTGCAGTAGTTGTAGGTAGTTGTGGTGCAGTTGTTGTGGATGCCGGAGTGGTTGGTGTTGTGCTGGTTGTGGCCAGTGGGGTGGTTACTTGGGCAGAAGTTGTGGTGGTTTGTGGTGGTTGTTGGGATGCCTCTGTGGTGCTAGTTGGTGCGTAGTGCTGTTGTAGTTAGCGGGTAGTTGTTGAGGGAATGGTGGTTTGTGTGGTTGTAGCCTCTGTGGTGGTAGTTGGTACAGTAGTTGTTGTGGATGGAGTAGTGGTCATAGGTGGTGCCGTTGTTGTACTTGGTGTAGTGCTGGTTGTAGTCAGTGGGGTAGTTGTTGAAGGAACGGTGCTTTGTGTGGTTGAGGCCTGTGTAGTGGTCGTTGGTACAGTAGTTGTCACAGTTGTTGCTGCAG